AAGAACTACAAAGTTAAAAAATGAAGCAGATGGTGAGGAATTTTAGTGTCATTTTTTAAATTTTATTAATACATTATAATGATGCTCTTTACAGAGGGGCTGGCAACCTACGGCACATGTGCCAGACTTGGAACACATTAAAATTTTCATTAGCATGTGGAAGTCCAAAAAAAAATAAAATTTAAATTCATCTTAAATGGTAGACTAAGTTTTTTGACATGCTAAATGAAACAGAAATCCTACCTGTGCACTCTGTCACCAAAAGGTTGCCAACCCAGACTCTATAAAAGTATACATTTTTGTCAACATAAATAATAATTGTGATTTAAAGAATTTCACATACCGTATATTAGATGTGTGTGTGTTCAATGAAATTTATAACTGTATTTAAATTTGTTTTTAGGATTTGAAATATGTTTTTCAAAATTATTTTCACTTTGACAAGACTCTGGTGAAACATAACATTTTACATAATGATCAGATATGTAATTTTGGCAAATATGTTTGATTACAGCGGTTGGGATGATAACATTACTGAAAGACCCAGCCAAAAAATGTGAATGTGTCATTCTTGTAAGACAGTACAGGCCAGCCATACAAACCACCACTATAGAATTCCCAGCAGGTACACACTCATAAAATAAGTATATTAAGAATCAACCAATCAAGTAAAATCTTTGAATTTTTCTTAAACTATGGCTTGTGTGTGTCTGTCAAACATGACAAATTTTTCTCTGTTTACAATAATTTCAATAAATGAAGTTGTCCCTAATAGTTCTTTTTTTTCATTACTTAATAAATCCAGGCAACAAGATCCCAATAGAGCAGTAGAAGAGAACACAGCCATTCTTGAAATGCTATTTTAATCTCATTGTTTACAGAAGCCAGAGTTATCAATATATTTTAGGAACATAAAATTGAGGAAGCTGCGATCAAAGTTATACAAAAAGAAATAACGAATATAGGGTAACGGTATAATTGATGAGATAAAAGGACTGCACAAAGTTAGTAACTTGCGAGCACAAAGCTTTCAGTAAACAAAACAAGAACAATGAAAAGTAAAATAAATATAACTCAAGGGTCGGAAGCCATGTCTAGTCCAAAGGACATGCAAACTGATCAATGATGTCTTTTTCAACAACAAAAATTTTAAGTTTTTAAAAAATGAGATTTTTTTACTTTTAAATGTGAAAATTGCTAAGTTTAAGGTGTATTTTAAGAACATTTAGAACATTGTTTCCAAACTTTTTTTTCATGCTGCCCCAAGAAGATTAAATTTTAATTTTGCTATATCTTAGTTAAGCATAGGGCTTGGCTTATTTTTTAACTTCAACATAAAGCCATTTTTAGCCACCACAACTTGTCCTCTAGGATGAACTTGATATTGACGTCACCGTGTAACCTCTGTGTCACTTCTTCCCTGCCCCTTTCTTGGTTGAGGAAAAGGGGTTGTTAACATTCGAATGCATTCCATTGTTCTCAAGAATGCCATTAGGTGACGCAATTTCTAAAATTTCTTTACTTGAACGTTGGGATTAAATTCATAAATAAAGCCCGCCAGATAAACAGAGCGCGACATAAAGTGAGAGATTTTTGCTATACGAGGTGTTATATTATTGTTTGTAAATTTAATATTTGTATTTTGAGGAGTGCACTTATTTCACTTTCTATAAGTTGATAGAATTTTTTTTTTTGCTTCTGTATTCAAATTTGTATTTTTATAAATTAATTACATATTGTTAGTATCACTAGCTTTGTTATCGTTTCTTTGCATACTGTTTTCTTGGTCCTTTTGTTATGCATTCTTAATTCTATGATCCAAAACTTACAACAGATTAAAACCAAAAGGGTACATAACAATGCTCACAGAGGGGAAAAAATCCCCCCCCCCCCAATTAAGTGGTTAATGTTTTGTTTTTTAAATCACTGCATGGGATAATCCTGTTGACCAAGTGCATAAATTAACAATTTAGTGCTTAACTTTTTTAAAGATATTGCTTTTTGATTCAAATTTGTATTTTTATAAATTAATTACATATTGTTTGTTTCACTAGCTTTTTTATCGTTTCTTTGCATTCTGTTTTTTTGGTCCTTTTGTTATGCATTCTTAATTCTATGATCCAAAACTTACAACAGATTAAAACCAAAAGGGTACATAACAATGCTCACAGAGGGGAAAAATCCCCCCCCCCCCAATTAAGTGGTTAATGTTTTGTTTTTTAAATCACTGCATGGGATAATCCTGTTGACCAAGTGCATAAATTAACAATTTAGTGCTTAACTTTTTTAAAGATTCTGCATTGAATCTCAAATTTGTATACTTTGTTATTCATGTAATGATTTTGCTCTAAATAATCTGGAAATAACTGATCCCAAATGTTTTCAAAGCCACCATAATTATAAAAGAACTATGCAACAGTATATGGTATTGGGATTAAACTCTTATAGTTTATATTTACTTAACATAAGGTCTGATTGATGCTGGAGAGACAGCAGAATATGCAGCAATACGAGAAATGAAGGAAGAAACAGGTTTTACAGTAAAAGTCCTACATGTATCTCCAGGTACAGTGCAATTATCTTTCTCTTGTTGATGTTGTTATGTTATAGCTTTTGTCTTTGCCTATTTTTTCACTTCAACATAGAGCTATTTTTGTATCCACCACCACTTTTCTCCACTAGTATAGCTATTTTTTAGCCCCTACCACTTTTCTCTCCCTAGTATTTGTATTTTTGAGGAGTATACCTTTTTTCATTCTGTGCTGTACTATAAGTTGACATAGTTTTTTTTTGCTTCTGTACTCAAATTTGTATAGAAATTTATTTGTATAGTTAAACAGAATATTGTTATTATAACTAGCTTTGGTATCGCTTTCTTTGCATACTGTTTCTCTCAGTTCTTTTTTATACAAGCCATATCTTATCACAGATTAAATCTTCAAAACCATAACATTGTAACACTTGTCTTTTTCTCTAAATTGTGAAATGAACATTTGTAAAATATATTGCTCATTTCCTTTTTTTAAAAATATATTATTTTTTTTAAAAATATGCAGTGACAGCCACTGATGCTGGAATTCTTGATTCAACCATGAAAATGGTCACCTGTGAGGTGAGGACTATTTTAATATATATGTATATAAATAATTAAAAAAGGGACAATAAATATTCAAACACTGAGAGTTTGTTTTAAAGTTTGTATCTAATATTATTTTTTTTTTATAGGTTGAAGTTGTTTGAATAAAAATACAATCTTCATCTCTACACAGGTTGATGCAAACGTACATTGTAACACCCACAGCCATCCAATAGGAGGAAGTGAGTTACATTACTTCTTTGATATAGTTTCCACAGCTGAAGCTAAAAATCATTGCACATTTTTTTTTTTAAAATTCAGTTACATTTCTTTTCTAATACCCTACTAAAAAAAAAAACCTGCAGCATATATAGGAGGAAGTGAGTTACATTACTTCTTTGATATAGTTTCCAAAGCTGAAACTAAAAATCATTGCACATTTTTTTTTTTAAAATTCAGTTACATTTCTTTTCTAATACCCTACTAAAAAAAAAAACCTGCAGCATATATATTGTTTGCTAGTCCATTAAAAGATATGCAATTTTTGACATAACAGTAGATATACGACAGTCACATTTTAAGAAATATGTAGGTACAGAGATTTTACTCAATGGGATTTTATAAAAAAGTATAGTAATGTTGAAAATTAAAAATTCACTAATTAATACTGCAATGTTATTTATTTAACCTTTGAAAATTTGAAGTAAGGGAAAGAAAATGTTTTTTTACTTTTTTTTAAAAAGGACATAATGTATATATTTTTTAAATTATGTCCTTTTATAATTATATCATTATTCACACAGTGCTATTAATTTGGTTGGGCCAGTGGACTGACAAGGTGGTAGGGATGGATGTTGTGATAAATAGGGATAAAAAAGGAGCTGGAACTTTGAAATGATGGGAGAGTGAAGGGAAGGGGATGGGCTAGGCTTCTTGGGCAAGGGGTTTGATGAGAGTACATTAGTTTAGGAAATACATAATGTACTGTTGATTATATCAAGGAGTTATTTAATAAAATGTCACTAAAATAAAATACTCTTAATTTTTTTTTGGCTTCTAAAAAATTTTCCACATCCCTTGGATAAAGACTCAGATGGTAAGTCACTTTTGATGCATACCATTTCTACCATAAAGTTGAATAAAGAATATAAAAATATTATAAGTAGGGTAACATTATTTTAGCTGTAAAGTTTGATCTGCAACTACAATTTGCTAGTTTTTTTTAATAAAAAATTCAGTAATAACATTAGTCTTAGTAAAAGGACAAAAATTCCATTGTCCTTTTTTTACTTACATATACAAACTTTGAGTTTATTTAACATAATAATTCTGATTTCATCTTTCAGAGTTTACAGAGGTCTTAATTGAGCCATTGCATTCTTTAGTAACAAAATTATCAGGTAAGATTAAATAGATTTATTATAAGAGAATTTGTTAATAGGGATGCAGCTAATATTTGAGTCATTGAAAAAAAAACTCAAAGGAGCTAGCAGAGTATATGGGAAATTTCCTCTTGTGCCTTTATCTATTTTGATTTTAAAAAAAAATTATAACTTATAAAATTCACAATCTTTTTTTTTCTCTTACAGAATATTCCAATAATGGAGAAATAATTGATTCAAGGGTCTACACTTGGGCATTGGCAAAGTCTGGGCACTGATAAAAATTTATAAAATTATTAACCTTCTTTTACATAGATTTTGAATTTGTTGTTTTAGGAATTTTTAAGTGAATTGAATAAATATTTTTTCCATCAGTCTTTATTTTTGCTTATGGTTGTAGCTAAGTGACTATTACTATTAAGTATTGTTTCTGCAGTTTAATTTATGGATATTTTTAGTCAATAAATTGATGAATGTCTGATACATAGAATGACAAGATCACAATAAAGAAAACAAATACCCCTACCAAATATTAAAAAAGAAAAACGCAGTCTATGTTAAATCCCACAGTTTATTAAAATAGATATTGCATTGGCCATCTCTCAATAGAAAATTTAAACATTTTGTTTGGACACAATGAACTAAACAATAATTGACATTAATATTGAGCCTTTTCCTTTAGTAGCCAAAACACAAGAAATTCAATTTAAAGGCATGCAAACTGACTTGTCAAAGAAACTAATATCAAAATTTTATATTGGTAAATGCCACAAGAGCTCACTACTAAAGAATGTTCTGATTTGGTATGTAGATAAATGGTTTTTTTTGCCTTTTTACAAAAAATTGTAATGAGGGTTAGCTTGTGATACAGCTTAAGTATAATAAAAGATAACTATTTGTAACAAATGAAGTTCTTTTGAAAAAAAACAACTACTAAATAGTTAAAAATTTCATTAAAAAATATCAGTATTTGCTGAAAAAAAAATTGGCCATTGAATTGAGTCTGAGCTTAAAACAAATCCATAATTTTACAAAGCTGCAATATTGTTTCCACTCATTACTTTTGTTCTATATGTTTAGGTATGGATCTTGGTCCTGTCTTTTTTTTCTTTCTTTCAGTTGATGTTTATTATTTTTTTGGGGTCTTTTTTTTATTAAAGCAAAACCATACTTGCTGCTTACAGATATTTTGTGTCTTTAAATCTTAAAAATTTGTAAGAAACCAAACAAGTATAGAAAACATTAAATTAATACGCAGACATTGCATAAAGTAATTGTTCATGTCATGTTTCACCCAGGAATGGACAAAGAAATATGTATATATTATTTTTAAAAATTCAACAAACCATATTTAACACACTGGATAACACAAATTTATAAAAAATATCAAACATACATTCCATCTGTAAGTTTAGGCATTAAACGTTCATTTAAAAGTATAGTATTTTGCATTGGAATTCATTAAATTGGCAACAGCCACCCACAAATCTGATTATGGAACCGTTGTTGTACAGTGTACCATAATGTTCAGAGTATAGCCAGTTCCTGATTAGAAACCTGCACCCTTAAAGTTTTATGTTCACAGATATCAGTATTTTTATGTCTTTGCAACATTCTGATTGTAGGCATCCACCTTAGTTTAAAGACTAACATTAGGGGAAAATGTTCGGCCTACTCTTGGAAAAATAAGGTATTTCATAAAATGTTAAGTATAACGTATAATGATATATGAAAAGTACTAGATAGTCCCTGTAGTGTAACTGATAAAGCCGAAATTAAATAGCACTACAATAATAAAAAAGTTTAATTTACTAACACAGTGAAACTCGCTATAGTGGAAAGATGGATATAACAGAATTGTTGCATGGCTCCCTAAATTTCGTGTATTCCTTCACACATACTTGAAATTCCTTTTTTTCCAAGTACGTGAAAAAAAAATGTATACAAATATTTTACTTCATTTTGGGATTGACATCATTTATGACTGAATATACTTTCATCATATGATTGTGGAATGGTTCCTCAAATTTGAAATTAAAACATCTTGTTGACTGGGCTTGGTGTTATTAGACGCAACCAATTGTAAGTATATAACGTCCGCTTTAATAACCATAATAATCCCACTATTCCCACAGAATCAAGGCTTCATGCAGACAATTATGTCATTTGAGCATTAAACAAAATATAAAATGTTCTATAGTGCAACATGCATTTGTAAGAATTAAAGATAAAAAAATATTTTTCCCAACCACTACATCACAGTTATTTAAAAAAAATTGCTCTCAATCAGGGCAAATTCTTTCCCTCCAGTAAGGACCGAAGGAATTAGAGATTTATTTGTTCCCTAATCTGTCAGAATTTACCAGCGTGCTTTCCCTGCTGTTATAAAATAAAATCCTATTGACTTGAAATAATAAGGTTTTACATGATAACTGGTTTTTGCACTTGATTGAAAAATTACTATAAAATGTCTGTCTTTAAAATTCTTGTTAATCATTATTTTAACTATCTGCGTTTTTAAAAATTTGATATTCTAAGAATGATTACGTACTGGTAGAATGTAATCAAAAGGAATTTTCCATGTATTTTTTAGTAATAACACAATATTAGCTAATTAGTAGCTTAAAAATATTGTAAAACCCTGTATTAAAACAATTCCCTCAAGAGGCGCTATCTTATTTTATGGACCTCAATTATTGTTACCATTTACAGTTTACCATGTATATTTTTAAATTGGCTTTTCTGTTTACTTGTGTATCTTTATACATATAAATATATTCCACTTCAGACCTTCACTAAGAAAATAATTCCACATAAAGGCCAACAGTGGTTTAATTGTAATTATTACTGGTAATAAAAAGCAAGGATCAAAAAGAATTTAATAGTTATAAAGATTATCAACTAGAGAAACAACTGTATGACAGACATTCCTAGGACTGTCAATGACAATTCAACAAGTTTTAATGTACATTTTTACATTAAATTGCTTTATACAATATGGCTCTCATGGCGTATAAACATTTGCCCAGTGAAATACTACCGGGCATGTTAAACAGAGTGAGAGAATTTAAAAGCATTAACTTTTTTTTAAACAGATGAAACATTATGAATTAAAGCATCAAAAGCTTTGTTAGAATTGTCAGGGTAAAAAAAGGTTATGAGTTAAGATGAACAGCAAATTTTTCAAAATACATTTGACAGCTTATTATTTTAAAAGTAAAAGAATTAATTGAAATGCGAAAACTAGAATTTAGTTAGTAGATTTTTATAAATATTATAAATTACAGAAATCACAAATGTGATTTGCAATTTTTCTCAAGTGAAAAGCTAATGTATAATGTAGTCTTTCTGCTTCTTACCAACATTTACTTATGGTTGAAGATTTTGAACCTTTTGGACGTCATAAATCAGCTATTTACACTATGAACAATGAGATGGGGAAATTATGTAGAACATCTGCTTCCATAGCGACAATCACAGAAATGGAATTAATAAAAATAAGGATATTTGTTTCATTTAACCAGGCATGAATCAAATGTCCTACTCCACAAATCAGACCAACGTGTAGGAAACCCTGCCACAAATGGTATAATCAGCTTTAAACATGTGTAGAAGCTAATTATTGTGATTAACAATGAAAAATAATATCATACCAAATTAATATAAGCAGACTATTAATATAGCTATACAAATCATCACAATATTACTATATTTTATTCACAACCCACTATAATTATAGGAACATATTTAATTGAATTGGGGACATTCCTTTACAAAGGAAATTTTCCTACAGCTTATGACCATTTGCAAAGGCTGGCTAGTGATACTAAATTTATAAGCACTTTTTGTTATCATTGACAATGTTCATCACATACGAACATAATAGATCTAGCTTTTGAAAAATCTACTTATTACTAAATGAACATATTAAATAATATATCAAAGTAGACCTTTTTTCCATTTCCTGTCTTTCCAGAAAGACACAGAAAAGATTTGCTTGACAAAAGAAAATCAAAATAATTATAGCTGTAAGTTCATTATGAAATGAGATAGTTATGAAATTAATATTATTTAACCAAACAAGAATAAAATGTAATTTTTATATCTATACCCATATGTTCTGTCTATATGCCGACAAAAGATAAAAAATATTTGGCTAATTTATAAGTGCTACCTTGCATGCACATACTTTTGAAGTGAAACACATGTTCAACTTTTGGTGGGCTCACCATTATATAATGGAATGTCTCCATCCCATGTCCTAGACAGAATATAAAATAATTAAGCAAATGAAGATTTACATAATTTGCTTGGTTTCTAAGAAAAGTAAATCAAATATTGAGCATAAGTATTTAGATATAATAGTAATATTTTTAAAACATTGCACAGGTTTATTTCCACAATAATCTACACATCTTTTCAACCTATCATCCCAATTCTACATTAGCCTTTTTCACTTATTTTACTGATTTTCAACATTAATTCTTTTATAAAACAGGTTAATAAAGTTAAATTGCTTTTATACGCTGGTGAATTGAAGTAGCACCATGCACTCAATATATTCATCAAATCTTAAAATTAGAAGTCTTTAAGAAGAATTGATGAAACTAAACTAATGATCAACTTTCTATCATCTGCAACTGAACACAACTTTGACACCTATGTCACTGAAGAGCATTTTTATTTGGCAATAGCGGGTTGGTGGATGGGATTCCTTGTCATATTTATTCAAGCACATTCAGTTATTAATTTTTTTTAATATTTGGAAAGGTATTGGAACTTAATGCAATGTTTGTTAATAATTTATTATCTTATAATGAGAATGTATTGGTCAATGCTTCAATACACAGATAGTATAATTAAAATATTCATCTTAAATCAGTGTCAAATGACTAAACAATACTAAATCTAGTATAGTTTCAAAGGGTGACTAATAAACAATCCAACTACATCTATAGTTGATATGTGTTCTAGTATTATGTTTATATGTGTTCAGCACTTCTTGCAAGCAAATAACATTCGATAACTTTAAAAAAAATAATACTTAAAGCAGCTCTCCTCTTGTGATGTGAAAAGAAATTGACCTTAATTTTAATGCTTATTGAATTATTATACCACTGACAAAACTTATTTTAAAATGTTGTTGCCATAAATAATTGAATTATTCCAAGTCTGTTAGGATTTTTTGGATGCTAGTCTCAGAAATGTATAAAATTTAATTAGTCTATACAGACTAATTGAACAAGATTTTTTGGAGTGTATTCTTGTTTCTAAAAGTATTTTTCCTTAAAAACATTTTTTTTTTACTTTCTTTAAAAGCCTTTTAAAAGTCATCTATTTTTATGTAAACTATGCAAAATTTGGTGAGCAGTAAGCAATTTTAAAAAATGACATTGTTTGCACACAAATAGTCTCTTATTACCCATCCAACTTTTCAAACAACTTGTTTAAAGTTTAATTAATTAAATTTAAGGATAAAATAAGATTTAGTTTACCTTCAAAAAAATATATATGATTCATAAATGAGAATTTTGGCAGTAGTGTGAAGTAGCATTGTTTGAGTGATGAATTGGTGTGCAAAAAAAAATTAGTGTATATTGTTAGATCTGAAAGAAATATAGCTATTTCTGTTTAAGTTAGACCAATTAATTTCAAAAATGGTATCAGGGTGAAAACTTATTGAAAAAGATACATCAAATAGGCTGTTTTGGATGCTTTAATTGTGTAGCTCATTAAATAACTTCTGGATGATCAGTTGCATATTTGCAAATTCTTCTGTCTGTTAACTTAATTATTGATAGAGCAGTTGATGTAAATTAAAAAACAATTTTTGAAAACAGCAACTTAAAATTTTTCATGATTATTTTCAATTGTAAATTACAAAGCCCAGAAATAAACAGACAATAGCAACTTAAAAAGCAATGAATGCAACATTTTATGGAGACAATTAGAAAAAAAAAAATTTAAAGGCACCAAAGACATACCAGAAATAGCAAACTGATAGAGAAAATGGGAAAGTGTATAGTGTATTTTAACATCAGAATCCATTAATAAGCAGATGTACAGTGTTTCCCTTGGCTTTATTAAACTTGCTTAGTATGTCAAAGCAGAATTTTAAGAAAAATAACTTTACCCAACAAATTTATTGTTTTTCTGCATCTTTTCTTTCTTCCGCTAGCAGCCTAGCAGTTAAAAAATAGAATTACAGAACATTTTTATCCATATAAAACAAATATACAGTCAGATGTAAACTGAACTATCACATAAAGGTATCACATTTTATTACCAAAAATGTATACCTAAACAATACATGTTAAAATATGTAATTGAGAACTAAGTTTCAAAATGCTTACGGTAGTTTTCCACCCTCTAATTGGTCAACTATTTCCTCTTGTCTAAGAGCCGCCGCCACTGATTCAGTGTGCTGCTGTTTCATCTCCCGGCGTTTCACCTCTGTGTACCCTGCAGATCCCAAGAGTACAACCATGTTGCTGACCCACCACAAAGATGTCTTGACTTCTTGAAAGTAGATGCAAGCTAACACGGTCTGAGCACAAGCTTTTGCTGTTCCCGATATGTTATGTGTGAGTGGCGATGTGACCTAAAGTTAAGATTTTTGAAAAATATACATTAACGACTATGTATTGAAACTATATTTCCTGTTTTTAACAAATGTGAAGTACAACTATTTTATATGAAAACATAAAATAAAATGTTTGTTAACTTTTGAGTTTAAAATTTTTTATTAGTATGGTACGGGTGCTTAATAAAGATAGTTTTGATACTAAAACAGTAACTACAAAGAGAATTTTTATGCATTCTAAAAAAAAATAAAACACACAAATCAGAAACAACTGGGTCAACATTCAAATGATCCCTATTGCCCACCTCTGTCTGCAACTGACATTTTAAATATATATTTCATTTCATCATGAAAATTAAAAAATATGCCCAACTTAAGATATTCATTCTACAGCATATGGTAATAAAATACTTATTGATTTGAGATCACTAATTTAATTTTTGAATTTATTTCTGCAATGATTTACCTAAAAAAGATATTTTTTTAAAATCACACATCAGAAGCAAAATTGACAGCAACTATAAAAATAAATTTATTTTACATATTTTTAACTTACTTGGATCTGTAAACCTGTGATGTATCCAATGGCAAAGCCAAAGATTCCACTAACGATCATCCAGTTCCAAAATGATAATGAACCTAATAGCGGAAAGCCAACCACTTCACCAAATTCTCCAAAAATAAGCATAAGAGGAATGAATAGAATGCTGGCATTGATATTGTTGTAAAAAGTGAGGCGCCATACATTGTTGTCTACCAATGGCAAAACTTTCTTGGTATATATGGCATTAAGAGCCACAGAGGCACTGGCCAGAACACCATAGACGACACCCAAAATAGACAAAGTACCTGATGAAATTTAAAATATTTATGTATCATAAAATTAAGCAAAACAATGGGAAAATTTTAATATTTTGTTTTTCTTAATTTCTTTGTTAATAAAGAGACCATTAAACTCATAGTAATAGAATACATTAATGATTTATTTTGAGTTATTAGATTTGCTTTAATTATACATCCAACAATAAAACTTACCAGATGCACCTTCCTGATCAACACCCATGAAAAACCCAGCTATGATGATACCACAACAAGCCAAAGCTTTGCCTGAAGTTGTTTGTTGCAGCATTAGATATGTGAATACCTGGCAAACAGAGATGAGGTTTATGAGTGATTCAATATTCATTCAACTCACTGACCACGGACTAGAGCTTCTCATGGTGATTAAAATAAAAAATATAACTTGAGTGTTAATAAACTATTATTGTATTACATGCAGGTCAATGGTTCTATTTAAGAATAAGCTACCAAAGAAAAAGGGCAGAATTTTTAAAAGAATTAAAAATGAAACACTTACCACATTAAAAACTGTTGTCAATGATCTACCAACAAAATAAAATGCAACTCCAATAAACTTTAGACAAAGATTATTGAATGTTATCATACAAACAAATATGACAGAAAGCGGCAGAGTCTGTGGAAAATTTAAAAAAATAATTTAAAAAAAATATTCAGTATAATTTTAGAAAAAGCTTTCATCTTAGGTATTTATTCCTAGATTTTAATAGCTTAATTAATATTTGAAAGCCTAGGTACTATTTAGCAAAATTCATTTAGTGTGCTCTTAAAACAAAAAAACAAAACAAAAAACTTACAGCACGCAAAAGCTTTCCTTCAATTTTAACTTCTGGGAATGATACATAGCCTGGAAAAAACTGACCTCCAACACTCAAAATAACACACAGAATAACTGTAACTAAGCACTGGAACCATGTCACAAACAAGGGTGCATTTAACTGAAAACAATTGAAAGTAAACAAATCAACATAGAGATTACAATAAAACATGAACTGTTTTGCTACAGGCATTTTGTTCGTCTTCAGAATATTGAACAAATTTTGCATTTGCTTCATATCTGATGGCAGATTCATCACCACTGTGTAGGGTGATGCCACAAACGAGGGAATATGTAAGTCTATCTAAATGGTCAGTGCTTTAATGAGTTTGAAATAGGCTGGATAAAAAAAGTTGGTGATGCCCACATAAGGCTCCTTCATCAGTTGTCAACACCTATTTTAATATAGGGCTATTTAATTCCGTATCCTTTCACAACATAGGTATTGGTATTCATAGTCTTACCATAATTTTTAGGTTTGAAACCAGGACCTAAAGGAGTAGGTATGACCAATGGCGTACAGGGGGGGGGGAGAAGAAGGGGTTGACCACCACAGAGACACTTTTGTTGATGCATATCAACACCATATAACATGTGTCTGTGTGGGTGCAATTTTGTAAAGTCACCCAGGCTGCATTTAATCGAGAGTATTGGTATTCATAGTCTTACCATAATTTTTAGGTTTGAAACCAGGACCTAAAGGAGTAGGTATGACCAATGGCGTACAGGGGGGGGGGGAGAAGAAGGGGTTGACCACCACAGAGACACTTTTGTTGATGCATATCAACACCATATAACATGTGTCTGTGTGGGTGCAATTTTGTAAAGTCACCCAGGCTGCATTTAATCGAGGTAGTCCACTGGGTATCATGCAAAGGTCTGAAAAGCCACATCATGTGTGTTGGATATTTGAGGGGAAAAGGACTCAATACTTTTATTTTTATTATACTGGAATATACTTTCTATGAAATATCTTTATTCTTGTTTTCCAAAATCTCTTAATAGTTTATTAGTAAAGGAGAATTTGTTTTAGTTATGAGAAGTTTACTGATTTTAAATTCTAATATATTCTTTCTCTTTTTTTAAGGGGATTAAATAAGTCCCAGGGCCAGGGGGAACATTTGGCTAGGCCATGTCTCATATTTAAAGAAGCCTCAAATTTACATGTGGACTTATTCACAAATAAATGCACATAGTGTAACACAAGCTTAGATAGTCTTTACACATAGAATAGAATTTTAGACTGGGCAAATTAAGAATTTCTACTAAACTGATAATGAAATTCATACCAGTCATGACATGGTTCCTACACTTGGATGATACAATTAAATAGTGACATATGGAAAGCTTTGGTATGCATAGTGTTCACTCCCCTTTCCCTCCTGAAATCTGTCTATGATCAACTAGTAAGGGCAGGAGATGTGCTTTTTTGGGGGTTTGACTTGCCTGCTCTAATGATTATAGAGCTTTGTTGGCCATTATCATAATTACACATTAAAAATGTTACGACCCCAATACGGCAACAGGTTCCCATAGGCCTAGATTGGAAGCAAAGATTTTTTTTAGCTCCTTCTGTTTTGCACACACATATAATTATTTATGAAAACTAATTTTTGTCTATCTTACTATTACAATAATGTCTCCCATGATAGTCCAATACAAAACACATTGGCAAAAAATGTGATATGAATGGTTCTTAAAGAACATATTTAATTATTAATTATACGGTTTTGGTGGTTTATGAAGGACATCTAACTATCCACCCTTCCAATTTGAAAATTTTAAAGCTATTTTAAATTTTTTACAAATGTATTAATAATATTCTAATTGAAACTTACCTTTAAATCTTCACTGCTTAGTAAGTATTTATTAACAAACACCATAGAAATGGAGATTACCCTAGTTGACAGAAAGAAAATATGCAAAAATAAATATTAACAAAATAAAAATAGTAGTCTAATAATACTAATAAGTTATTAACATTTAAATAAAATTATGCAATTGTTAAAACTAAGTTTGATTAAACCTAAGTTTCGCTGATCATTTGATGACTGGACTAGAGAAGTAGTTTTCAAACGATCTGCCTCTATTTTTAAGATCTTAGCCTAGTTTAACTAAGTACTTATTTAGTAGAGCTTACTTTTTTTGGTCTTTATAGTTGAACTAATTAACTAATAAGTTAAATAAGCCTAAGCTGGTTTTAAAATCGTTTAGCCTATTCTAGTCTACACTATATGTAATATAGAATAGGCAAACAATTTTAAAACACAGACTATATACCAGGCCTGCACAACTCAAAATGTAAGACGGGCCATAATACTTTAAGAAAAACTTGTGCAGGCCGTAATACTTTATGAAAAACTTGTGCGGACCGAAAGATAATAGGACAGGGGCGAAAGCTATTCAGAAAATAATAATAATAATATTTTGTTACTTCGCGGGCCGCCAAGTGGGTGCTGCAGCCAACAGGCCGTATGTTGTGCAGGCCTGCTATATACCATACTAGAGTGACTATAATATAATAGTATAGTAGACTATAGGCATTATAGAGTACAGTATATAATAATAAGTAGGAATAGGCATAAGTCTAGCAAAGTAAGTAGCCTAATACTAATAATATTAGGCACTTCAGTGAGGCAAGGAAGACTACTTCAAAATTTGTATTGGAAATGGGAGTCAGCACAGAAGAATCCGAGTTTTTAATTTTTGGACGTTGGTGCTTTTTCATAGATAAAGGACTATTTTGTTATATAATTGTGGTATTCATCCAAAAGTTTACAGTAGTGGACATCTTGATCTACATTTCCATCATAATTTTTTGCCTTTTCAATCGATTTCAATATTAGATATTCATAGGCATATATAAGGTTTCGTTATCTACAAAATTTTGTAATAAGTTCAAAATATATGTCTTTCATATTAATTCTTCCTCTGTAAAATATATTGAAGTATATGCTTGTGCCAATTCTCATTGTGCTAGGACATGTAGGCCATTAGTTATACTCATCTAAGTAACCTGCATTACCATAAGGTAACCCCGCCCCATTTCGACCACATCCCCTTTTTAATGATGTAAGATGCCAGTACTTAGGAAATATTTAATTATTACCACTATTCAGATCAAAATATTTGATAACTTGTATTTTAAAGTGAACTTAGAAGGCATTTAAACAAGAATATTTTAAAACCTGGTAGTCCATACTATAAATTTTCATAAATTGTAGTGTCAGTAGTGTGCTAAAATTTGTATTGGGCAATCATTCACACCCACTTGCAACATGGCTATACTGAAATACGACCTCAGAGTTTCATTCATTAGAGTTAACAGTGTGCAAAACTATTAAACCATTGGTCAGGGAAAGCTTTAATTAATTAGTCATGTGCCAAAGTTGAAAATTCGAAATAAGTAGTTCCTAAACAGTATTTTAGTAATAAGACTAAGAGGATCTGTTGCCTTGTATAGTCAGTATAGATCATTTAGCATATACAAGTATAATTGACGCCGTAGACTTGATGAACAGAAAAGCCATATATTAATATATTATATTATATTAAATTTACAGATATGATATACATAGTGCATTGTTAGATAAGTTACAATTTAATTATAATTGCATATTATTAAAGTTACTTTTTAATGCAGCATTAATTTAAATGCTGAAAATAAAAGTATTTAAAAGTCGTATAAAATTATCATTAAAACAAGAGTTATAGCTCGTGACACGAACAACGGCATGGGGTCACAGATTAGAATGTAGAGATGCTGTCCTTGTTGAAAAAGGACAAATGAAGTCATACTTTGAGAATTCATAGCTCAGAAACTACTAATAATTAAATAATAATAATACTAATACTAAAGTAAAGATAGAAAGTTGATTTTGGTTTCATTTTTTAATTTTGATTTATTATTAAGTATTATACTTATACTATACTTTTGATAATTTTTTGAATTTTAATTTTTTTTTTAATACCAAAGTACCTAATTAATATTATTAATAATAATAATTATATACTATAGACTATAGGCATAGTGCCGCATAGTCTACCCTATAGCCTATGACTATAGACTATAGTGACTATAGTACTCTATGTCATGTTGTATAGTAAAACTTAAAGTAGCACAGTAATGAGTAATGATTCAGTAATATTTATGGTAATCATTACATTACGGCATTTATGGTATCCCATGCCTTACATTTTTATTATTATTTATTGGTGACTTACCAATATGCAGCGACAACAGTCGCTATTTTAATATATTTGGAGACCAACGACTCCATTTTGAAGCCTACGCGTCTACCAGGGGCTTGTGAATTCGGCCACATCCTCAATGAATCGTAAATACAATTATACAGCCGAAAAGTTGTCGTGTGTGTAGGACCTGTCACGGCCTACTTACAAATTACTGAATTGCGGATTTGATATTGAATACGACTTTACGACATTGTTTTCGAACTTAAAACAGACCCATAATTTTCAATTATCGCATCAAGCCTTTAAATAAACACTGGATAATACAAATTATTTGCACCACTGCGTATTTCTTCCGTAATTAAAAAAAAAACACAACTTTATGAATGTCATAAAAATTAAAAAGACTTTTAAAAAAATGTATTTTTCAACAGTTTAATTTCATTCCGAGGGAGATGGTAATTTTACAAAAATGTATGGTAAGATTTATTAAGAGAAGTCTTAGTTTAATATTCTTGTACATTTATTTAAGATAAAAAATATTATTTTATGGCATATTGAAAAATAAATTAAAGGTCATAAAAAGTAATGAAACTCAGACAGGTAAATTAAAAGTAAATTTAATAAATGATCCCAACCACGTCTAAATAAGGGAAACTACTCTTGTTTTCGTTTTTGTTTACAGTTTACACAGTCTGACTCTGACGGTTTCACATTTTGCAGTATAAACGCCACAGTGAAAGATTAACTGTAGTGGATATATAGTTATGACATAAAGTATTTTATCTATCCCCATAATAATGGCTGTAAGTATTATAGTGGTTGAAATTAATAATAACTTATAATAACACTTGTGACTTTGAGTGAGTTATTGATCATTGATAGAAGTTATAAAAAGTTTCAGTTTATAGGCCCTAAAATTACTAATACTATAACTATAACTTACTATAACTAGGCACTTGAATACAAAATTTAAAAAAATTGAAATAATTTTTTTAATAACACAGTTAGTTAGAGCAAATTTCAAATAAAAAAATGAAACCAGAATCAACTTTTTAGCTTAAGTACTTTTTGAGCTATGAATTTTTAAAGTGTGAGTTCATTTGGTATTTTTTACTATGGACGAAACCTCCACATCTTGTGACCTCATTCCGCTAATCGCGTCATGTGCAATGACTATATAGTTTATACAAGGCAACGCATCGCCTTATCACTAAAATACTGTTTAGGGTCGACTTAGTTTAAACTTTAAACTTTGGCCCATGAATAATTAATTAAAGCTTTCCCTGACCAATGGTATAGTAGTTTTTGCACATGGCAAACTCTTATGGTTGAAACTCTGAGGTAGTACTACGATACAGCCATGATGCAAGTGGCTGTGAATGGTTGCCAATGACAACGTGTTGCACACGGTAAATTCTGATCATTTATAATATGGATTCTACCGGGTTTTTAAAGCTCAAATTAAAACATTCCAGTTTAAATGTCTTCAAAATGCATTCTGAAACACAAGTTATCAATTATTTTGATGTAAATAGTGGTAATAAATTAATATTTCCTAAGTATCGGCAACTTACGCCATTAAAAATGAAATGGGGCGTGGCCCACCCCATGGCGAAATTAGGTTGAGCGAGCTGCATGACCTGCTGCGAACGCGTATAAACATGGCGTCTCTCGTAAGACACTTATCGCTGTGAAAATTGGCATACATGTAGATCAATAGATTCCCCAGATGCAAAAAAAATTTGGTAGTGATAAATTGTTTCCTTCGACTTAATTTTAATGATGAAAGTTGCCTTATATTTACCAAGGATTTTCTCAAAGCTGACTGATTGTAAATGAAAAAGAAATTGATTAAAATGTAGGCCAAGATGTCTACCTAATTATAAGGCCGAAAACGGAACTCAAATATATATATGACAACGTGTTGCACACGGTAAATTCTGATCATTTATAATATGGATTCTACCGGGTTGTTAAAGCTCAAATTAAAACATTCCAGTTTAAATGTCTTCAAAATGCATTCTGAAACACAAGTTATCAAATATTTTGATGTAAATAGTTGTAATAAATTAATATTTCCTAAGTATCGGTAACTTCCGCCATTAATAAAGGGGCGTGGCCCACCCCATGGCGAAATTAGGTTGAGCGAACTGCATGACCTGCTGCGAACCCGTAGAAACATGGCGTCTCTCGTAAGACACTTATCGTTATGAAAATTGGCATACATGTAGATCAATACATTCCCCAGATGCAAAAAAAATTTGGTAGTGACAAATTTTTTCCTTCGACTTAATTTTAATGATGAAAGTTGCCTTATATTTACCAAGGATTTTCTCAAAGCTGACTGATTGTAAATGAAAAAGAAATTGATTAAAATGTAGGCCAAGATGTCTACCTAATTATAAGGCCGAAAACGGAACTCAAATATATATCGAAAGTACTAATTTAATAATAAATAGACACACACATCGGAAAATTAAAAACTCTGATTTTTCGGCGCCGATTTCTATTTCCGATACACAAAAAGTAGTAGTCTCCCTTGTTTCATCGAAGTATCTAACTATAACTAATAGTAGTAATAATAGTTATGTCAATTACTGGCACTGCTACTTTTACTATTGCCTACTATCTTTTTTACTTGTTCAAAATACTGAAAATACTGTACTGTAGCTGTCTGTCACAATACTAAGACTAATTTGAGTTGACTTTGGCTTGGCAATCTGCTTCGCAACCGCTGCGGCAACGCAATTAGTCTTAGTTCCTTTTATTGGAGTTTCAAGTTGACTTGGAGCCCTTTTTACAAGCCCTAAAGTGTTACACCTGATTTGCCTTAAAAAAATAACGAATTAAAGGGCTCACTTTACATAAATAAAACTATATATAATTGACTATATGGTAAATTTATGCAATCCTCATCTCTTATTTCCCATGGCCGCCATCATGTAAAAAAAACAGTAATGCAAACGCACATCTGCTAAAATGGGGAGGAGGAAGAGAGAATGTGACAATGTGCTGTTTTCTCTAGACTCTTAGAATGTTTTAGCTACTTACTTAAGTTAATGGTCACCCCCTTTCTGGAATAATTTCAGCCGGTACTTTAATTTCATGGTGAATGTAGCAACTTTTTTGCATCCCTCTAGATATGTGGCAAGAAAATGGTCTGCGGTCGCTGCCTTCCTTCAACTAAAACATGTGTGCTACAACTATAGTTACACACTGTGGTGAGAAAAGTACACCAATGAAGAAAACAATACAAAATATTTTTTAAATAATGAAACCCCAACTAGCAGTTTCTTAAAATACAATTTGGTTCCATCATTATTTGAATTTATATATAAAAAAATAATATCTTACGTTTAAAATAGTAATGAAGGAAGGTAGAATATATGCTTCAGAATAGTATTTTCTTATTCAAATAATTATTTTGCAGCTAAGTGGATCAAAAATGGGGAGGAAAGCTAAATCCTAAAAAAAAAATGTATTGTGGTCTGCACTAAAATGGTTTTTTTCCCGGTACTTTTGAACCACTTGAGCTAGAAAGTTGATCTTGGTGTTTTTGTAAATCATTCATTTGGTTGGCTCTATTCAATAAAATTGCAGTCATATTTATTTCTAGAAATATTTTGATATTTCACCAAATTACCTATATTTTCATCAGTGTCACTGTCTGACATGGTGAAATTTCATGATACACATTTGGTAAAAAATAACTGATTAAAATGACACTGTAAACTATCAATGGGAGCTGCCATTTTAATGTTCATTTGTACAAGAAATGCAAGAAGCAGTCTGATTAGCTGGTGTGAAACATATGCCATCCATGGCATAGTTTGGTATTATTGGACCAACATATTGGCTCATTGTTTTTTTTTCCATTCATCTCACTCGGCTTTGTCATCTCAAAAGGGTTAATAATAATAATAATTAGTGGTCTTTTATAGCGCGGTACCCCAGCCTAGGGCTGGGCTCACCGCACTGTACATACAAATATTATCTAAAGAGACATAACCATGACATTACAATCAAATACAATTTTGAAATAAAGAACAGCATAAACCCCAGGACTTTTACAAGGCAAATCATGGACGCAGCCAACAAGATCATTTATCGGTCAGAGGAGGGGAATCAGTCAGGGTAGTATAGCTTAAATAGATGTGTTTTGAGTTCAGTTTTGAAGGCCTGGGTGGTTGGTATATTGCGGATGTGTAGTGGCAAAGAATTCCATTGTTTGGGGGCACAGAAAGAGAAAGATCGTTCACCATATGTTTTAGTGTGTGTCTTAAGAATGGACAGAATACGCGTGTCTGCGGAAGAGCGAAGCTGTCGAAGGGGTGAATAGACAGAAAGAAGTTCTGTTAGGTAGGAAGGCCAGGAATCCGAGAAAAAGTTGTGACAGAGAACAAACAACTTGTAGTCAATGCGTGCCTGTATAGGGAGCCAATGAAGGGAGTGTCCTGCTGAATACTACTGGCACCGCGAGCAGGGGATAGTTGCAGAAGTCGGTGTTCTAAGGCTGCTCTTCGGGCTAGCATGTGTTTCTCTTCTCAGCTGTCACTATCCTTCTGGCTTCGTGAGATTGAGCTCCCTTCTTGACAGCTGATCTCGGCATGGCTCTGTCCTGGGCTGTCTGCACCCATTCAATAGGGTTGATGTTGAAGGCGTTTAGTGATGCTTTCAGGGTGTCTTTGCTTCGTTTTCTTTGACCTCTTAGGGAGTGCTTGCCCAAGGTGAGTTCACCAAAGAATATCTTTTTAGGAAGCAGGTTGTCCTCCGTACAGGCTATGTGTCCTGCCCAACAGAGTTAAGACTGCATCAGGGTGGTGAAGATGCTAGGTAGGTTCGCTCTATCGAGAACCTTCCAATCTCATTATCTTCCCACCTGATGCCGAGGAGTTTCCTGAGGCAGGTTGTGTGAAAGTGATTTAGTTTCTTGGTGTGACGCTGGTAGACTGTCCACGTTTCACATCCATAGAGCAATGTCAAGAGGTCTTCTGTGCCATATACCTTGATCTTCGTTTCACGTCTGATACCTCTTCTGTCCCAAACAGTGCTGCGGAGTCTGACGAATATTGCACTCATTTTTGCAATTCTCCATTCCATAGTTATAATGTTCATATGGAAGTCAAATGCATGATTTGCCTTGGTGATCCTTTCAATGATTTCCATGTCACAGTCATCATATGGTATAAACATTTCGTCCTACTAGAAGCTATTCTGTCACAAAACACTTTTCCATTCAGTTTTTTCTGCATATATTCGGTAATAATAGTATAGAGGCAGATTCATATAATCTACACCTTCATTTTCAAAAGGGTATGCAGAACTAATATTAAATTATTTATTTCATATTATATTTTTTCCAGATTCCAAAGTTGTTTCAATGGCTCCTGGGAGTTGGTTCCTTTATGACAGTTTGGCTTGCATATTTAATTGGTTACATACAAACAGATCTACGGAAGGAGTACCATGAAATTATTATTGCGGTACAAAGCAAATTTTTGTCTCTTAAGTGCTACCAAATAATTTTCCTTATTCATTTTATTTTTTAAAGTTTAGACTAAAAACTGACCCAAATTAAGTGATAATTTATTATATTCTACTATACTACAATAGAAGATATAAATTTTGATTGTATTTTTCTATTTTCATTGAACTTTATTTATTTCTTTTTATATCTTCAGCTGCCCATCTACTTATTGATTACATTTGCTGTAAGTATACCAGCTGGTGCTTATAAGAAAGAATTGGATGCATTAGTATAATATAATATGTTTAAATGTCATTTTATAGATTTATACAATCCTTAAAATGCAGGTGGTAGTCAATTGAAAAAATGCATAGTAAATGGAGATTTATTCACAGCCTATGATAATTAATAATTATAACAAATGTAAATGTAATAACTTTTAATATGCACATTTATCAATAAAAGTGCATTTTTTAAGTGTTATAAACGGGGAGGGGGGGGGGGAGAAAAAGTATAAAACTTTCCAGTGAATGTCCAGAGCTTGAAAATGATCTAAGTCTTAGTGCTTTGAGTTTGTGTGAAAATTGATGATTGGTTAGATTGTTTCCCCCAAAATAATAAAAACATGCCTGAAATTAAGTCAATAACAAAGTTTTAAGGTAGCTTGAAAGTCAAAGTCAGCATCCATTGCTTGGTGGTTTACTTTAAACAACTGTAAAAGTGAATTAATACTGTCCTAAAATGAGACTTTATGATAACTATGTACTTAACCACTGAAAATCACTCTCTTATCCTTTAATTGGGCAATGTAAGGCAATACAATATGATATCTTATGAAGGGGTTGACAATTAAATCAAATTTAGTATTCTAATTTAATTCTCAATTAGTTACAAAGTGGTGGCAGTGTAAAAAAGGTATACCTTATGTAAGTATGAACTAGCACTGTTTCAGTACAGGCTATAAACTTTTAAATGCAATATAATTGATAATAGTTTTATTATCTTAAAATCAATTTAAAAAAATCAAAATTGCAATGATTTAGCATTGTAAATAATATATATATTTTTTTGTTAATTTATTGCAAAGAATACATTTTCCTCCACAAAGATTGCGTTAGAATTCCATGTATATTTTTTTTTTTCTTTTTTCACTCTATCTTTAAAAAAAATAATTTCTAAACCATTTTTATGTGCAATATTATTTCTGGTGTTTGCTATGTGGTTACTGGTATTTTATTACATGTCAAGAATTAGGTCCCTTTTGACATTTAAAAAAAAAAAAATATATATATATATATTCACAGCACTTCGGAGTGCTATATTTCAGCTCCCAGTCATGCAGGAATAAGACATTTGAGGTGTGTGATCTTGTTTTGGAGAGCAAGGCCGACCTTGTGTTCATTACCGAGACATGGTTTAAACATGTCAGAGATGAGGTTAAGCTTCAAGAAATTACACCTCCGGACTATGTCCTTCACTCTTGCCCACGGCAGTCGCGCAGTGGTGGGGGTATTGCTGTCCTTTATAGGAGCTCCCTCTTGAATAGTGTGGCCTTCTCAAAATCGGCCGAGTTTGTTTCCTTTGAGATGTGCAAGATGCAACTTACTTATGGTGAACTAGGGATGACATTTCTGTGCATATACAGGCCACCTCCAAATAGGCAAAATAAGTTGAAGATCTGTCAGTTTACTGTGGAGTTTTTACAACTCCTTGACATGTACGCCACCACCAACAACAATTTCATCATAATCGGCGACATAAACTGCCATTTTGACTCCACCACCGACAGCTTCGTGAAGACCCTAAAATCAGCTCTCGAAACACACACAGAATGACTCAGCTTGTCAGTGTCCCAACGCAGAAGCAGAGTCACATCCTAGATTGGCAGATTGTCAGAGAGGACTGTGCTGCTATGAGCCGTAACCTCATTATTGAGGACAAACTTATCTCTGATCACTTCCCAGTCACCATCGACTTTGACTTGAGGAAGCCAGGACGCCTTCTGCGCACAGTCACATCCCATGACCTCAGACAGATAGATCTAGTGGCCTTCAGATCTGATGTCGCAGCCCTGGGGTGCAGTGAAGATGACCCTGCTACATGCAACAGTGGCCTCAGAGTCATTTTAGACAAACATGCACCACTGTCCACACGCAAGTTACGGACCACCCTTCCACTCCATGGCTCACGGCTGAAATAAAGGACGCGAAGTAGAAGCAGCGACGTGCAGAACACAAATGGTGGAAGTTGGCTTGACCGTGCACCCACAAATCTTCTTGATCACAAGGAACAAACTAAGAATATGTCAGTCACCATATTGTAGAGTGTGGCTTTGGTAGGGAATGGTTTCGTATTGTGGGTCAGCTGACCGGTAAACAGACGAACACAATTTGCCAAATAACATTGCTGTGGGCGTCCTGCCAATGAGTTCTTTATAACGAAAGTCACGAAGATCAGGGCGAGACTTGAAATTTGCACAGATGCTCCCAAATTCTTGCCATTTAAAGGCAGTCCTATATGAACGAATTTTTAGAGGTCACTGAAACAGCTGTAAAGAAAATCTGTCTGACTCCCCGAAAAAGTCATGTTTGCTTGACCCTTTTCCGGCAAGGCTGTTGTACGAATATTTAGATGAAATAGTACCTATCATAACTAATATCATAAATCAGTCTTTAAAATCTGGTATTGTTCCATCTTCTTTTAAAGAGGCAGTTGTAACAGGTGAATCTCGACCCAAATGTGTTGGAAAAATTATCGCCCGTCTCTAATCTTCCATTTGTATCTAAGATTTTGGAGAAATTCGTTCTCCGTCAGCTCCTGAATCACCTCATTCGATGTGACTTGTTTGAGCCTTTCCAGTCAGCATACAGGGTGCATCACTCTACCGAGACAGCCCTGTTAAGCATCGTAAACGACCTTCTGTCATCTTGTGGTGAGGGCAAGATATCCCTTATGTCGCTACTCGATCTATCGCCTGCGTTCGATACGCTTGACCATGGCATACTTCTCCAACATCTGGAAAATATGTTCGGTTTCACCGATACCATCCTGAAATGGTTTCATTCGTATCTAACAAATCGGGTCCAATCAGTTATTGCAAACGGCTTGACCACGAAGCAATCTTTCATCGAATTCGGAGTACCCCAGGGCTCGGTCCTAGGCCCGGTGCTTTTCACAATGTACGTTCAGCCCGTGGATGCAGTTCAGTGATCAAGCAGTTTGACATGCTATATCGCATGTTTGCGGATCACACCCAACTTCGGCAATCTGTGATCCCCTCTCAGTTCCCTCAGGTTCTTAGTATGACACAGAAGACAGTGGAGTCAGTTAAGCACTGGATGACTATAAACAATCTTAAACTGAATGATGAAAAGACCGAGCTGATCCCCATTGCCACCGCTCAAAAGCTAAAATATATAAATAACACACAAACCCTTGCTCTCTCAGGGATACAGATTGAGTTTGCTAAAACAGTGAGAAACCTGGGTGTCTATTTAGACAGAACACTAACTATGGAAAATCACATTAACATGCTCTGCAAGGCGATTTTTCTAGAGCTGCGCAGAATTAGTCATTTCAGACCTTTCTTAACGTTAGATGCATCACAGAACCTGATGCCTGCATTTGTGCTATCACGCATGGATTACTGCAATACTCTTATGGTGGGTCTTCCAGCTACGCTCCTGGATAAAATTAAAAAAGCACAGAATAATGCGGCTTGCATCGTTCTTCGCAGACACAAATTTGACCATGCTAAAACACTTCTGAGAGAGTTGCATTGGTTGCCGGTTCGCGCTCGTATAGAGTACAAAATTGCAACTCTGTGCTACCGCTGCATGCATGACCTGGCACCGTCCTATCTCAAAGAGCTGCTGACGCCTTAAGTACCCACTAGACAACTCCGCTCATCTGATAGTGGCAAACTCTTGATACCACGTGTTCGCCTTGAGACTTACAAGGGGCGTACTTTCGCATTTGCTGACCCAACAATTTGGAACACCCTTCCTGTCGCTCTCAGAAAGAGCCAGTCACTGGAGTCTTTCAAAACTGATTTGAAGACATATCTATTTCGTAAACACCTGCTGGGATGATGTTGCCTATCTAGCTATTATCTTGAGGATGTGTATTGGCCTGTGTTGTTTATGGTTATTAGGTATGAAAGACTTAGAATGGGTATTCTCGTATATAGTTTTTGCAATGTTGCATTTTGTATTTCAATGTGGTATATTATAGATCGTTTCATTTCTCTTTTAATTTACTAGACTATATACCGCGCTTCGAGCCTTTGGGGATGAAGCGTGATTATATATATATATATATATATAATTGTATATATGTTACCGGCAATGTGTGAAATGCAGGCATTGTATAGAATGCCTGGCGGTTTTAGGCAAAGTATGAAATATTTTATTTTCGTGATTAAATTACATACTTTGCCTAGGCATTTTATACATTGCCTAGGTATTATATATAATGACAAATATACTTCAGGCAAAGTTTCAAAAGAGCGTAAAGAATTTTTTTTTAATTGGAAAAACACATTTGAATATGAAAGATAACAATAAAACTGGCAAGCAAAGGTGTCATCGAGCTACTTGTTGCAGCAAGTAAGGCTGAATTGCACTTAATTTTCTTTTTCAAACAAAGACACTTCATATTTTGGCACCTGGCCTTGCACATATACCTCACGTTTCCTTGACCGCTTCCTGTTGACTGAGAGATAGCAGCAGATCGGAGAGGTATTTCATGGGCCGGGACGTCTTCAACTCTCAATAAATCTTTTGGACATACAGTGAACTGTGATACCGAATACAGTTGTTTCAAGATTCCTTGTGCAGTTCCAAGTCGGTAAAAGCCGTCTTCTGTCTCTGTCATAACAACTGCCAACAGATTGTGCGAGTCACAACGTCCCTTGTCAACGTCAGGAATAGGAACTCGCACAGTGGCTCTAAAGGTGCAGGAGGGAATTTTTTTGTCAGAGTTTATTTTCATTTTTTTGGCCTGGATTTCAAGATTCGATTTAGATTCTTTTCTAGCCTCTATAGCTCTCTTTATCTTGAAACACAAGCTGCACAAAATACCAACACCATAACCTTCTATTTCTTCGACTCCATCGTCTTTAGCAACATGCCCACAGATCACATGTACATTACGGTGACAGTTTCGGCATGTATGGGCACCGCTGCTTTTTTTTTAAAGCAGGCACAACAAACACCAGAAGTGGAAGGCTCTTCGGTAACCATGACGTCACAATCAGTTTGGTTTCCTCCATTACTGGTTGCATTCTCTTCAGTATTCTTTATAGCAGGCTCTGTATCTTGCATCTGACGATTTGCTTCTTCCTGCTGTGTTGTTTTTACGCTTTCTATTATTTTTTCGAGTTCTTTCTCAGTCTGTATGTCTTGCAAAACGTCAGCTTCATAAGGCGTTCTCTTGATCCCAGAATGAAAGGCCCTGTTCTTCATAAGGCGTTCTCTTGATCCCAGAATGAAAGGCCCTGTTCCTCCTAAGCCGTTCTCTTGATCCCAGAATAAAAGGCCCTGTTCTTCATAAGGCGTTCTCTTGATCCCAGAATGAAAGGCCCTGTTCCTCCTAAGGCGTTCTCTTGATCCCAGAATAAAAGGCCCTGTTCTTCATAAGACGTTCTCTTGATCCCAGAATAAAAGGCCCTGTTCTTCATAAGGCGTTCTTTTGATCCCAGAATGAAAGGCCCTGTTCTTCATAAGTTGGATGAATCATAATCCCTCAGCCCAGTGGTCAGTTTTTTTTTTTACCTTGCATCCAAGCACATAGCATGTTTTCGATGTCTTGATTAGCTCTTTCGACACTGCCCTGGCTTTGTGAGTGGCACGGTTTACCTTAGACGATCTTCAACTTTAGCCAATACTCTTTTAGGCTGTTCACCACATTGTTGGTAAATTCCGGCCATTATAGGACTGTAAAATTGATGGAGCTCCAAGCAACGTAAATATTTCCACTAGTGTGTAGGCTACCTCTTCCGCCCTCTTGGATGTTAAAGCCCTCAGAACCACAAACTTTTTGAGATGATCTTGGTACACCATTATAAATTTATATTCCCTGTCAGGATGGGATTGAAAATCGATAAGATCGACCTGACCACGGGAGTTGAATTCAGAAAAAAATCATAGGCTTCACCACAACACCCTTTGTGACACCTTTTTGTTTCTTCTGGCACGGCTCACAAAGGTGGAGGTAAAGTTCAATATCATTACGTGCAATGTTCTTATACTTGTGTGAAAGTTCTTTCAACTTTCTGTCCCTTCCTCCATGTTCCACGGCCAAATGAGCCTCGTGAAGTACGTCAAATAATTCTGAATCCGTGACATAGAACTGAATAGCACAGTCGCCTTCTTTAACAGGATAGATCAACTTGCTTTTGTTGTCTACCGCCATTAAATCAGAGCGTTTCAGCAGCCAATAGTCTCGTGGTTTCTTCCGAGTTGTCATCCGAGCCATTTTCACATCATCCACTTATTTTTGGTAACTAGTTTCCGTTAGAGAAACGCAGATTTTAGCAGTATTAGCTCGTAATTGAGAAAGTTCATCGTAGAACCGCCGCTGCATGTCAACATACCGTGATTCCTGATCTGAAGCTACAATCTGATCTTCCAACATCTCGGCAGCCATCTTGAAACAAAAGGGGTAGCGTCTTTGGTGGGAGTACGAAGCACGTGTGTCATGATCACAACGCCACCACCAAGCAAAGAATCCAACATGAATGGCGGGGTATTCTATACATTGCCGGGTCGCTCTTAGGCATTATATAGAATGCCTAGGAAATGTGTGAAATATAAACCATTTCATACTTTGCCTACAATTTTCAGGCATTCTATAGAATACCTAGGCATTCTATAAAATCCAGGATTTCACACATTGCCTGTAACATATATATTCTTTCCTTTACACAAGTGACTGTGTGAAGTGAAATTTAAAAAAAACAACTTAATCATATATAACTTCATTTCAGTGAGTGATTAAACTAAACTAAAATAAGAGTTTTCAATTCTGGAAAATTTAAATAGTACTAGTAATAAGATTTTTTGAATTAGGTTTAAAACCTGTTGCATAATGATTTCATCCCAATCCAAAAAAATCATGTGATGTGATGTCACTAGTGGATTTTAAAATTGCACTAACTTTTTGATTCAATAATGTTGACATCTTACTTAATATTGACATATTGAGGACATCTCAATAATTGCACCATTTGGGGTTAAATTTAAAAGAAGTCGCTCTACATATACCTGTTAGGTTTTTTTAAAGTTAACAATAATTTCTGTATTTTGATTGTAAAAAAAAAAATTCTACTTTGACCTATTGCTGGAAAGTTTACGTTTATTTGTTCTTTATCTCAGTGTTTCACGTTAGGAATGATTGGATACAGAGTGGCAACATTCAATGATTGTGTAGAGGCATCAAAAGAATTAAAAGAGGTATTTTAATCAACATGATATCTAAACCTTTTATTCATTTGTAATTATTTTATGAGCCACTGTAGTACAGAGGTACCCGGTAATCAAAATAACACAATGCATGAAACTGATTAAATTCTTCTCATCAGCTCACAACTGTACACTGCCTATTAGTTTAGCTTTACCATCTAGTCCCCACAAAAAAAAGTATTGGTTGCAGACCTCATTGAATCATATTATTATTTCAGTGTCCAAAGAGAGATTATATTTAAACTAGGGTGTTTCATGCAAATCCCAAAACGAAAATGATACAATTACCTACTGATTTTAAAATATCAACATTTAAACAGAATTTAAGCCACTTGACTTAATAAGCCTTAAAAATTGTCCTGGATAAAGTACAGGAACCATTTTTCCACCGTTTGGTTGTAAAAACTTCTATATATCTTTTTAAAATTACTCAGTATGCATATTTAAATATTTTTTATATATATTTTCCTTTCAGCTAAAACTTCAGCAAATATATATTATATATATATATATATATATAAATAAATACATACTATCAATCTATGTTCGTTATACTAAAGAAATTTGAATAACTGTAGAACTACCCCCAAAAATAACTTTTAAATGGATTTTTATTCCTTAACAAGATTTTGCCATTTGAAATCTACTGATATTGTTATTTATCACTTTCTAATTTTTAAAATTTAAAGATGAACCTTTCTAATTTACTGTACTTTTTAATAGTATTCCATAAGCTTGATTGCATTAATGTTCATAAGTATAACCTTTTTATACCCAATACTAATACCCTCGGTAGATTAAATGAAGCATTATTTGAGATTAACTCTCTTGAGATGGCTGGGCAGATCTATTGGCCAGACTGTTATGGCAAAAACATGAAAGGCAGATCTAATTGACCCAATAATAAAGCAAGAGTGCCCATGCCTTAAGATGGCACTGCTTTTCTCCACTTATGTCAATTACTGAGCAGTGGCGTAGCTAGGGTTGTTACCACCTGGGGCTAACATCTTAGTCTACTTACAAATACTTTCATGATTGTAAACACAAATTCTTACTTTATTTTTTTCGATTCATATCAGGGAGAAGTTAAACGTGTTGACCAGAGTTATTCTCCTTTAAGAAGTATGCAACTTGTGATTTGCTTTCAATAATTTAAAATATAAAATTTGGAATGTGTCAAAAATTTCGTGGGTTAAAATTGGCAAATGTGCTGTCCACTGACTTTTAAATCAAATTAAATTGCCAAAATCTTTCAATATTCATTAACAATAAGTGAAGCATGATGCCTATAAAAGAGTAAGTCTCCTAGAAGTGTGAGACTCTGGGCCAGTGCTCATGCCTTTAGACGGCACTGTAGTGACCCGCTATAAATGCTTAAAAAATGTGACCTTGAAATATGTCAAAAGGCATAAGCAGCCACGGAGGAATATTTTATGCAGTTTTTCACATTGAATCTAATTCAAATATGGGATTAGGGCTTACTAAGGCTTCAACAATCATAAAATGTAACAAAATTATGCAAGTTAGACTATTTTATTCTAAGTGTAAAAAATAATTGCATGCATAAATTATGCAAATCAGGATATCTCATTAGCATAAATTTTGAGATTTCAGTTGGATTGATAGAATCATATTAGTTTATTCAATTCTCCACAAGAATATATATAGTTTTATATAAACTTATAACCTATTTATTACCATACAAAGTATGGTAAAGTATGGTAATAAGATTATTTTTTATAATTTTTTTGGGAAAGTAAGTGCAGGACTTGTGAAAAGGGCTCCATCTTTATGGCACAGACAGTCCAAAAAGGCTCTGTCTAAAGAGGGTTAAACAATTAATTTTTATAATTACAAACTTACAATGTTTTGATAATGTCCACATCCTTTAGCAACATATGTTATCAATATTATTTACCAATTTACAGCAAATTGAAGAGGCCAGAAGAGATTTGGAGACGAAAGGTTATAAATATTCATCTGACTGGAAATGAGGTAACCCAAAAAGTTTTGGAATATTGGTTGATCCTAAACTTTGTAGGGTGTGCAGCAATATAAAACTTTAAAAAAGAAATACAGAACACAACCAAATTTCTTTAAATCTCATGTCAATAATCAACAAGAGACAGTATTCCTCATTCTAGAATTTCATTACCTACTGGTACTTTACTTTTTAATTGTGATTGTTGATGTTATTGTATGTTTCATTTCCAATTATACATATCTTATTGCTACTTTCCTCTAATTACCATGAACCATTGATAATTGGTTATCAGATACTGGCTCAATAATCAACACTATAATTTTATGACTTTAACAATTTAAATCATCTTACTGTAGAGTCTTCGTAATCTGCAATTTTAATGATAATTTGTTTTTTAAAGAAAGAAGAAGTGAATAAACCTTAATTAATTACTGATAAGATGAATGTATATGTTTTTTTTTTTTAAAATGTCATTCCAGTTAACGTCTTTGCTCTCTTTGAGCAAAATATCCTTGGTAATTATATAAACATTGGACCCCAAAATGTTATCTTAATAGTTTTAATTTTAAAACAATATTTAAAAAGCATAACTTAAACAAAAACAATATTAATTTATAGTTTTATTTAAGTACTATAAAAATAATAATGTTTTCTGTTTACTGATCACCATCTATTGATAACTGCTGTGTAAAATAAAAATTGGTAATATTTTACTTTGTTTTCTGTTTTTAATCTTGAAGTTACTGAAATAATTGTTTTCAAATAGAAAAATAATATATATATAAGTAAAAAAATATATATAAGGTTGAAGGACACACATGACATATTATATTGACAAAGAAACACACTTTTGGTCTGAACTTAATTTGTCAATATTTAATCAGATAATGTATAAGGCATTGTTAAAGAAAAGTGAAAATGCACATATAAAATGTAATATCTCTTTATGATGTTGGTGATATGTATGATTTTAAAATCTTAACTGGATCAACAGGTCTGTCCCCATCATCTGTTTCTACCATGCCAATCCGCTGTACTACATTTATACCAGAAGAAACACGGCCAAAAATAGTGTGTTTCCCATCTAACCACTGTGTGGGAGCAAGTGTAATAAAAAACTGACTTCCATTTGTGTTAGGTCCACTGTTTGCCATTGAAAGGATTCCAGCACCTTAAAAAATAGTTTAAAGCATTTGTTATTAAATATTGTGATACCAGATGCCCACTATGTTCTCATCCCCCATAAAACTAATACTTCATCTAAAAAATCATTTAAAGCCTTGATTTTGAACAAAAATAATTTTTTTACACATTCATATAATACTAAATATACAAGATTACATTAATTTCCAAATATTTATTTTTACATTTACAATTATTGATATTAATTGAATTAATTGAGATAGTATTTTTAGCCACAATTTTTTTGACATTTAAAAAAATGCCACTCAAAATGTTTAAGTAAATCTAATAAATTTTCTTATATAAAAAAATTTCAAACACATCAGTTATTAATTTTATAGGAAATAGTTGGACAAGTTATGTGGGAGCTTGAATCGGAATACAAGACAATAAGAGCCTTCCTCAGCAAACAGGACAAATATTAAATTAATGGTATTAGAAGTTAGCAGATCTTAACACACAATCAGAATCAGTTGTATCTCCAATAAATCAGTATCTATTTTTCAAGGCAGTAATTGTGACCCTGCAAATAGTACTACATTAAACATATGTTAACAAACCAACCTCTAAATCTATCTCAAAACAGAAAGAATAAATCTACCTGTGTGTTTCAAGTCTTCAGTAATTTCATCATCAAAATTTTTTCCATATATTGAAGCTCCTCCTCTACCTGGAAATAATCATTTGTGATTTTTATAAACTTAAAAATCAGGTATATGAACATTAAGGTTACAAATATTTTTGTAGATAATGTAATAGGTTTTCATAAATTAAATTAAGTTTGAATTGCTCGAGTTGCTTAAATGAGTGTTCATGGCAAGAAATATCCATATTTTATAGATCTACTCATACAATTACAAACTTTACATTTATATTTGCTGTCTTGTTTTTCTCATGTGGAGATACTGATCTTCCAACGAGCGCCTCCCCAGATATGCGGCTAATGTGAATGTGGAAATAAAATCCCGTTACCCGGGGCGGACCAAAATCAGAACCTACTGCCTTGTAGAAAGTGGAGGGATTAAAAAGGCTAAGGAACCTTACCAGAGAGCTGTAAGGGGAAACCCCACAGACTGTTGTGCGCAGGGCTTATAGCCCTGCCATTAAAAAATAAACGTTAGAATGCCAAACAACAAAATTAAAAAGAGGACTGATTCTAATGGACATCAATCCATGACTGGATATGGACATGATTTTTTGGATTGCAACTTTGAATGTGCTAAGCCTGTTTAGAGCAGGAGCCTTAGCCAACCTAATAGTTAATAAATCAACCAATTAAATATAAAATTTCTTTTGTTGCATTACAAGAAATTCGATTGAAAAATGCAGACATCCTCAAGACAAAAAACTACACCATATTTTATAGTGGCAATAATACTAACACTTTTGGAACAGGATTTGATGTGAAGAAAGAAGCCCTCTGTGCAGTTAAAGGTTTTAAATCAGAGGATGAAAGATTGTGCTCTTTGCGTTTGCAAGGAATAATGTTTAATACAACATTTATAAAAGTTCATGATCTCATCGAATATACAGACTGTCAGAAAAAAAAATTCTTTTATGAGACGGAAAAAATCTATGATGAGGCACTTAAGCATGATATTATAATAGTGATTGGCCACTTTAATGCCAAAATAGGGAAAAAAAGTGTTTATATCAACAATTGGCAAGGAGAGTACCGGTATACATGAAGAATCCAATGACAATGAGATCAACTCATAGACTTTGCTTCAGGAAAACCCATAACAGCGGCACCAAGTTTCCACACACAAAATATACATAAAGTTACTTGGAACTCACCAGATAGAATCACTCACAACCAAATTGACCATGTTCTAATCGATCTGAGGCATAGATCAGACATGCAAGACGTGAGAAGCTATCGAGGAGCGGATGCAGACGTAAGGTTTAAATGTAAGCAGAAAATAAGCAAAATACACAATGGTCGAAATCAAAGAGAAAATTGATATGATTACCAAAAAACTTACTTAAGACCCACTAACCGCAAAAGCTTACCAAAATGAAGTAGAAGCATCACAGGAGCAAATAAACAGGGAAGACAACATAAATGAACAGTGGGATAGGATAAAAAAAATCCTATGAAAAGAACATCAGAAAAGTAGTAGGATTTAAACAAACTAACAATTGAGTAGGATGTTTGATAATAAATGCAGAGAGACTGACAAAGAAAGGAACAAGGCACAAATAACCATGATACAAAGGGAAACAAGAAATTATGAGACAAGTATACAATCAAGCCAGTAGGAAAGCCAAGAAAATGTGTAGGAAGAAAAAAGGGAATGGGAAAAAGCTAAACCAAAGAAATAGAAGAAATATCAAGAGAGGGAAATATTAGAAGAATGTACATGAAGATAAAAGACGAAAAGAATGGATACCAAGCCAGACCTCAAATGTGTGAGAGCAATGATGGAGAATTACTTACGGAAAATTGTCAAGTACTGGAGAGATGGGCTGAATATTTTCAGAGAATAATAAATGAAGACAATGGATAAGATGAAGAATATCAACAACCACATGGAGGACCAGACCCTTTAATAAACTCTGCAACTTTGGAAAAAGCTACAGAAGTAATTGATTCTATGAAAAACCGCAAAGCCCCTGGAAAAGAATTCATCACAGCAGAACTTATTAAAGGTTCATGGAGAATACTTAAGGGAATTTCAGATTATTTATTTATTTATTTATTTAGGCATTTTTATATAGCGCTTATCATAAAGCTCTAAGCGCTTTACAATTATTAAAACAAGTAAACTAAGTAAATACAAATGAGACACTAGGATAGTAACTACTATTCTATAGAAACAATGAAAATGGCTATAAAAAGAGGACACTTTGACACTTCTGGATTAAACCGAAACAGAAAATTAGGTAGGGCAAGGAGGGTGCATCACAGGTCATAGGCGGACCTAAACAGGTGAGTTTTAAGGGACTTTTTGAAAATGGACGAGGTTTCACTATGACGTATATGGAAGGGGAGCTGGTTCCAGAACGTGGGCCCATGGAAGCAGAAGGAGCGTTCACCGATGGTCTTAGTTTTAGTTCTTGGGATGGAGAGGGTTCTACTGTCAATGGAAGAACGTAGTTGTCTTGTGGGGATGTAAGGAAGCAACAGTTCAGAGAGATAGACAGGAAAGTGAGGGTCAGTGAACGAGTTGAAACAAAGATTGGAAGACTTGTATTTGATGCGAGAGGATATTGGAAGCCAGTGGAGTTGCCGCATGTGTGGTTGAATGTGGTCATGTTTCTTTAATTTAAAAATGAGTCTGCATGCTGAGTTCTGTGCCTTCTGAAGTTTGATAAGGGACTTTTTGAAAATGGACGAGGTTTCACTATGACGTATATGGAAGGGGAGCTGGTTCCAGAACGTGGGCCCATGGAAGCAGAAGGAGCGTTCACCGATGGTCTTAGTTTTAGTTCTTGGGATGGAGAGGGTTCTACTGTCAATGGAAGAACGTAGTTGTCTTGTGGGGATGTAAGGAAGCAACAGTTCAGAGAGATAGACAGGAAAGTGAGGGTCAGTGAACGAGTTGAAACAAAGATTGGAAGACTTGTATTTGATGCGAGAGGATATTGGAAGCCAGTGGAGTTGCCGCATGTGTGGTTGAATGTGGTCATGTTTCTTTAATTTAAAAATGAGTCTGCATGCTGAGTTCTGTGCCTTCTGAAGTTTGTCTATGTGGTGTTGAGGAATGCCTGAGAGAAGAATGTTACAGTAGTCAAATTTTGAAAGAATGAGTGAAGAGACGAGAGTTTTTGTGGCATCAAAATAAATTTATAAATAAATAAACCAGACTTCTGAAAAAGTAAATCAATTGAAATATCTTGGATCTTTATTAAATGAAAGAAACGAATTACTAACACAAATAAAAGAAAGAATATTGGCCGGAAACAGGGCATACTTCAGTAGTCAGAAAATACTCCAAAGTAAAAACATTACAAGAAAAACAAAGAAAACAATATATAGTACTGTAATCAGAACAGTTGTAACATACGCAAGTGAAACTTTAACCCTAACAAAAACCGCTGAAAACCTATTAAAAACATGGACGAAAAAAGTTTTCCGGAAAATATAAGGACCAACAAAGGATGAATGTGGATGGAGAATACGAACCAACCAGGAATTGTACAGTCTATATCAGGCTCTCACACTAGCAGCAGAAATAAAAAAAGGGCAGGCTAAGCTGGGCTAGACATTTAGAAAAAATGCCAAATGACAGAGGAGTGAAGAGGGTGAACCACCAAAACCCCAGAGGAAAACATGGATTGATGATGTGGAGAGGGATCTACAGCATGCAGGAATCCAAGCATAAAAAAGAAAAGCATCAGTTAGGTCTGAGTGGAAGGATGTGGTGAGGCAGACCAAAACCCTGTAGCGCCAAAGACATGGATGTCTTTGTTATTGTCTGATGTGCTGATTTTTATCCAATTTAGAATGGTGACCATGATCTTTCAGGGTTATAAAACATTACATTTTTCTTGGTGCATATTCATTTGATCTGACTTATTCTTTTTTTTTTTAAATTGAAACATAAGGCAAAGGTAGATAAAAAGAAAAGCAATTATAATTATCTATTTATGTTAGAAGGATAAGAAGCAAGATATAAATTATGTAGCATTTTACCAGTTCCAGTAGGATCTCCCCCTTGAATCATAAAATCTTTAATAATTCTGTGAAATTTGATACCATTGTAGTATCCTCGTCTTGTTAGCTCAGCAAAATTACGGCATGTGTTTGGGGAATGTTTCCAATATAGTTCAATGACAATATTTCCCATCCTGTGGAAAATAATGATTAATTTTGATAAAGATATTTAGATACTAATACAATATATTATTTGGAGTAGGTTATGTCCTGTTATAACTAATAAATATCACTAGCAACAGTATTAAAAACTAAATCATGCTAAATACTATGCTAGTTATATTACACAATTAGAAGAAGCCAAACAATTATAGCCTGTTTTCTTCTGGGCTGACCTTAAAAAACAATGTCAAATGGTTTCACAAAAAAGCCAGTGTTGTAACTTATAAAAAGTTAATTAATTAATCTAATAATTTTTTATAACTTGCAATCAACAGAATCTTATTTTCTTTAAGGAGAAAGGCTCAAAGATGATAACTGTAAAAATATGCCATAAACTATAATTATAATATTATATAAACTATATAATATTAACATCTTAGCTTACAATAAAGTTTTTCATTGTGGAAACTGGTAATCACAGTGTTAAGTCAATACCAGTACATGGAAATGTTATATTTTCCAGGATGATATAAGCAGCCTTTGGAAGTTTGGTATGTTCAGTTAACTTCTCATCCCCTCCCGCAGTAAACTGTGGGGCCACCCATCCATATATAAAAATGTACACAGAAAAGAAAATGAAATCCCCCGCCCTTAACCAGTATATTTTTGGACACACATAGGCCGACACCATGATTGTTTATTTACCCCCCCCCCCAACACAATTTGATTCAATTTATTTTTAGACAGTTATGACATAGCCTACTGGAAAAAACAAAGTCCTTTTTTTTTAAAGAAATGTATATTACCCCGGTACACTCATAAGGGCTTCACTGAACTTTTTGTGTATACTCTATCTAAAGCCAGATCGTTCATAAGCTGAACCCTTAGTTTTGGCCAGGAAAAGCCTGGAAAGTGTATAAGTATAACCACTCATTAGCCAACCCCATAAAATAATATTCTAGTGTAAGCCAAATGGTACTACAGTGGAACCTCTCATATCAAGCACCTCTCATAACGAGTAATTCGCATAACAAGCAAAAAAAAATGTGAAGAAGTTGCTCCCTTAACGAGTGAAATTTCGCATAACGAGTTACGCAGAAAGGGGAAGTCCCTTTTTCTCAACATTCCTTTGTGAGCCGGGACATCCGCGCTGATGCATTAGTCTGTGTTTAGCGCTCGGTCTGTTAGCGTATTGTTTTCGTGTGTGATCACCTGTTTTTACAAATTTTGTATTTAGACAGTATTCGTAATTTTTTTATGTGCAAAGTGTAATAACCTGTGCTAAAATGTCTTCGAAGAAAAAACAACAAGAAGACAGTCATAAGAGAGAAAAAATAACTGTTGAAATGAAACGTAAAATCATTGAAAAGCGGGAACAAGGTGTGAGCGTGGCTAATCTAGAGCGCACATACACTGTCAACATCAACGATCTGCACTATTCTCAAGAACAAAAACAAAATTAAGGCGATGGATGCTTCATTTTCACATTGTTGCTTGCCTCAAGATGATTGACAAGGCTTGGGAAGGAGTTACCAAGAGGACCCTCACTTCTGCTTGGAAAAAACTTTTGCCAGAGAGAGTTGTTGAATGTGATTTTGAAACAGTACCTGTGAAGTCTACAGTTAACGAGATTGTGTCATTGGCCAATATCATGGGACTCGAGGTGGACAACAACGATATTGAAGAGCTTGTGAAAGAGCACAGTCAAGAGTTGACCACCGAAGAGCTTATGGAGTTGCATCGTGTTTCACAGCAAGAAATTATGGAGGAGAGCTCATTAATGGAGGAGGAAGTAGAGGAGCAACAATCTTCTAGCGCAATTAGAGAAATGCTGAAAGCATGGGAAACTGTTGCATCGTACATTAAGAAGCATCACCCTAATATGGAGGTGGCTATTCGTGCTAAAAATTTATTCAATGATAATGCTGTGACACATTTTCGTAAAATTTTGAAGCGTCTGCAAAAACAAATGTTTTTAGACAGTTTTCTAGTTAAAAAGGATTAATTATTTGTCATAAATTCATTTACATTTTTTGTTTCAAATCTAAATCCTATTCCAAGTTGTTACACTCCTTAACAATTCATAAGTAATTTTATTTGAATCAATGTTAATAAAATTTTTTGAAAAATCGTATTTTACATTGATTTGTATGGGAAAAATTGTTTCGTTTATCAAGTGTTTCGCTTAACGAGTAAGATTCTGGAATGAATAATGCTCGTTATGAGAGGTTCCACTGTGTAAGAAAATATTATTGCAAATCCTGACACTTTATAATAATTACTAGAAGATATGACCTCGGTGAAACTGCTATTGCAAAATCTACTAATTTTTAAGTAGGTAACTGTGTCAGTCGGATCGTAACCAATCAACATTGGCTCATTCTTATAAATATTATTTAAATATTTTACTAATGGAGTTAAAAACTAAAAAACATACTAATACTAAACTAGTACTAGATCTAATTTTAAAAATTAGATGATGACTGCCATTTTGAATGAAAGAAAAATGTAGTCGCATGACTTTACAAGTCACATGTGGGATTTGCAAATAATTCTTCTAACTAAATATCAATAAAAAAGTTTGCATAAGTGCATATCACAAATATGGTGCCAAAATTATCAACATTTGGGGGACATGTCCGCAGTAAACTTGTTTGGTCTATTGTTGGACAACCATTCACCCAACACCCAGGCCTGCATCTTGTGGCTGTGAGGCAATACATATTCTAGTGGCTGTTAGTGAGTTTGCCCATATCCAGTTGCCATGTGTGAGGTAACATGCCCAGATGCCTTGTGTGAAGCTGCCCATCATTTGGTAACTTTGTGTGAATTGACCTGTATTTAGTTGCCATGAGATGTAACCCATGCCCAGTTGCAGTGTATGAGGTGACCTGGGTCCAATCACTATGAATGAGTTCGGCAACACGCCTTCATCTGCTGTGTGTGAGGCAACCTGTTTCCGGTGACCATGTGTGAGATGATCTATATAATGGCAATGTGTGAGGGGACCAATGTCCAGCTGCCATATCCATATGTGAGATGACCCGTATCCCATTGACCCATGTGTGAGCCAATGTGAGATCAACTTCAGGTCACCGACCATAAGAAATCCACAAGACCTAAGCCTAAGTTTAGCCAAATTATTATTACTAATTAACTCGTATTTTCAGTTAGGTAAGAATGAATTTATGTACCGGTATAATTTATATTATATTTAAAGTATTTAAAGTGAGGTGAGTTATATTTTCATTATTTGACCATCAATATTTAATTGTATTACAAACAGTATTGTTGTGCTGACCGCCAACGTGAGTCTTAGGATTTAAAGGCTGGTGGACCAGTGCCGGTCCCTGGATTAATAAATTAATAAACGTGAGTCTTAAGATTTAAGGCTCGCCGACTAAACAAAGTCTTAATCTTAACTAAGTGGTGGCTAAGTTAAGTCAAAAAAGTCTATTCAAAATTAAGAAACCAAGTTTTAACTTACGTTGTTTCAAGTGTAACATTTGATGGTTGCCATGATTTTTTAGGAATTCCAGCGCCTCCTACAGTTGCGATAGACATCACTTCACTTAATCACAACGTGTGTCTATAAAATATTATTTCTAATTGAATTTTGTGAAGACAAAATATAAATGATTAAAGTGATTTAATGTGTGTGATAGATTTTGAATTGAGGGCACAACTATAAATTGGAGAACTATGGAGTCGGTTGAATTGATTTCATGCAGGATAAAAGGTTCTAAGAATTTTTCGTAGTGGATCATGAAAGAGAAAAGTAAGTATTAAAAAAAAACAGTAAGTGATAATGAAGTGCTAAAATATATTAGTTTTATAATTTTCAAATTTTTAATTGGGTCCCACTTAATTGTTCTGTTTAGCCATGGTAAAAAAACGCGGTGCTATCTTTTCACATTTACCAAGAAATTACGGATGAACTATCATGAACTAACTGATAAACATTTGAGAGCCGTTGAATTAAATGTAAACTTCATATTTACAAGAATGTTTATAAGCCCTGAGCCCAGTCTGGTATTCTGGTTAGATCGTTAGTAGTAGCCCAGACTAAAGTTTTATAACTTAAAATTAAGTTCATATTTAATTATTTGAATTTACCAGTGCAACTCACCCGTCATTTCTTCACAGTATTCTTTTATTGCTGTAACTGTAAGTCGTAACAAAGTATAAATGACAGTTTATTTAGCAATCGGCTGCAATGCCAAATAATAAAAATACTCCTCATTTTCAATCAATGCAATTTTTCAATTAATTAGGCCTAATTTTTATTTTTTAAGCCAAGCCCACCTTTATAATTGAACTAAGCCAACTTACGAAAATAAGGGATTACTGTTAAATTAACTTAAGTACTAATTATTATTATAGTCCATAATATAATAATTAATATGAATATACTTATTCTAAGTTAAGTGTCTGACTTAACTGACTATGACATTATGACTATCTAGATGTTCTTTACCTAACAGCCTAACATCTTAGGAATTACTTTTACATTGAGTCATTGATTGAGGACTTACCAGTAACTACTGCTACTACTACAATGATATATTTAAGTCTAATCATAACTTAACTAAGAAAAATAGTAGTAAGAGGAGTTAGACTTGTAGTCATTGTAGTGCTAAATTCATTACACTAATGCTTAGGCTTAGTTATTATATTTATTTTGTTGAAAATGTTAGGGCCTGGCCTACCTGACCAATTACTAATAATGACTAATCATGAATAAATTTTCATTAGGCTAAATCCTAATGAAAGTTATGTTATTAGATTATTAGTTTCAGGTAAATTTATGCAATCCACGCCAATTATTTCCCACGGCTTCCATCTTGGTTGCCGTGATCATAGGTCATGGCAACCAAGATGGCGGCTGTGGTAGTGCAAACAGACGTCTGCTAAAATGGGGATGGGAAAGAGAGAAAATGTACTGTTTTAGTTAATTACAGAGAGAAACGAAAATAGGAACAAAACATTAAAATTTAATGAAATAATAATTAGCCAGTACATTAATTTCGTGGCACATGTAGAAACTTTATTGTATTCCTCTAGATGCAAGCAGCGTCAAGCATTAAAGAAAAGTAAACTCTAGTAGCAATACAAGAATAAACAAAAGGGAAAGAGACATACACGGAAAATCAAAGTGGGGCGGATTGCATTATTGACCCCTTTTTCACCCAAAATACTGGTAGAATTAAGAAGTGGTTAAAAAATAAAGTCCTTAAAAATGAGTTAAATTAAATATATTGAGCAATGTTTCCTTTAAGCTGTGCGGCCACGCAGCTATCTCACAGATGTCGCACAGCAGTTTTGAGTATCCGCGCAGCCAACTTCCACAAAAGTTTGTGTTTGTGGGCTGTAAAATTTTGCACACAAAAAAAAATTGATGCTGTAAAACTTTGCACACAACAGTATGATTTTGCACACGAACCAGCAAACCTTAGAGGGAACATTAATATTGAGTAGGCTAATACAAATAATAGTACTATTAATAGGAACACCCATAAATGACATGCTTTTTGTTCAAATTTGCTCATACAAAACTTTATTCCTTGGGAACCAATCCAACTTTTTTATTACTACCGGTACATATTTTTGGACCTTTCCTTTTCAGTTACACCATAAATGTCTTTAGGGCTTGATGATAAACTGTTAGGGGAAAAGGTTCACTACTACTGCAGTAGCAGTGAAGATGAAGGTGGCGAAAGCAGTGATGCTGAAAGTGGGGATGATGCAAATGAGGGTGATCATTATCAGAAGTCAAGTGTTAAAGAAGCTTCTTCCTACTCTGAGCCCCTGAAGGCAGAAAATAATGGCATGGTAACAAATGTAAGCCGTTTCTGAAATAATTTTCTTAAGATAACAAGATAATAATGTTATGTAGATGTTTTTTAAATAATAATGTTACATTTATTACAAAGCATTTTAAGAAAAATTTATTCTTTTTAACAGACAGGTCCCAAGGGTGTAATCAAAGACTGGCAAGAATTTAAAAGATTAGAAACTGAGAAGCGTAAAGAAAATGAGAAAGAGAGAAATCTTCTTGCCAAGAAACTAACTTTAACCTGCCGCTCTCATGTAAGAAGTTGACATGTATTATTGTATATATATCAGAGAATGTGTTTATATATGGCATCTGGGAATGCCTCAGAGACTGCGCCATTAAAGGTTACTGTGCTATGCATGTATTCGTGAACTGACTATGATTGGGAGCAGTTGTGGGAGACAACCTATTCTATGCAAGATACTGAACAGGCCCCTCCGACTTATCAAGTCGAATACTTTTGTCGAATTTATAAAAGCAATATAAAAAGGCCTATGCTGTTCACAGCACTTCTCCTGCCATTGGCGTAACGAGAATATCATGTCTATAGTTGAACAACCACTTCGGAAGCCACACAGGGACTCTGGGTATATGCAGTTAGCCAGACCATACTCTGCAATTGTTTAAGGGCGAAATGGGCAAACGTCTTTCCAACTAAGCAAAGGAGAGAAATTCCTCAGTAATTATTACTGTCACTACGGTCACCTTTATTTTATTACAATGTTACCATGTTGGCGTCTCTCATGTCTTGGAAAATGTGACCTGCTTCCCAACACAGGCAGAGGAGCTCATGTAAGGGCTGAAGTGATATTGGTTTACAATTGTTGAGGATTTACTGTGTGTGTGGGGGGGGGGGGATGCTGTCAATCCCTGGAGCCTTCCCATCAGCAAGATAATCAATTGCTTTTTTGAGCTCCTGCAAAGTTGGTTCTTCATCTAGTTCTTCTATTATTGACAAGACAGGAATATTATTCAGAGTGGTCTCAGTAACTACATTCATTGTGTAAAGTTCAAGATAATGCTCAAACCAACGCCGAAGTCGATAGTTTGGCTTCTTGATAACTTGATCTGTCTTGTACTTGAGAGGTGCTATTTTTGAAGTGTATGGACCTAATGTCCTCTTGATGCATTCGTATATGCTCCTTGCATCCCCGTTGTCGGAAGCCAATTGTATTCAGTGGCAAAGGTCCAACCAGTTAGTGTTGGCACAGTGACTGGCAGTCTGCTGGGAAATTTTTTTTTGTAGTTCGGATAGCCTGTAGTGTACGAGCGCAAGGTACATCCTTGCATTTAGGGCTCTTCTCTTTTTCTCTGTTACAGTTTCCATGACATTCCAATGGGCCTCGTACCAGTCATTATTTTTATTCTCCATTTTCCCATAGGAGTACATGGCTGAATCGTACACAGCATGTCGTAAATGAGTCCACTTAGAGTCAATAATAGTGTCGATGGGGGGCCTTTTAGCAAGAGTATCCTGCAACGTTTTTTCTGGGTTGTTTAAGCAGTGGATGTTAATTTGTGATGACACTTCTTTTTAGTATTATGCAATTTTTGGGGCATTAATCATATTTTGATTGGTCTGATAGAATGGACCATGGTAGCTGCAGGTGTGAAGTACACTAGCTAGTTCTACATGCCTAGTGATGACGAGGTCTAGCTGATGCCAGTGACAGGAAAATGGGTGTCACCTGACACCTGTTGGATTTTTTGCACTTGAAGAAGGTGTTGGTAACAGAGAAACCATGAAAGCAGAACAACTCCAGCGGTCGTTGTCTGTTATCATTAATTCTTCCCAATCCATGATAACCAAAACATGAAGGCCAGGTTTTTGTTCAGCTCCCACTCTAGCATTAAAATCTCCCAGAATGTATAATGCTTTGTTTCATCTGCGGGTTTCCCTTGCCAGCAGAATGTGTAGCATGCTTCCTTCATAGCAGCACTAAGTCGGGTCTCTTGGAGGCAGGGAATGTCTATGTTGAGTCTTGCGAGTTCCTTATCAATAATGGCAGTGCTTCTTGCATCGTCAATCTGTTGTAGGTGGGTGTCAAATCCAGGACACATGGTTCTTACATTCCGTGTTATGAAGCGAAGTGGTTGAGTCTTCCTTCTATTTAATGTCTTTGCTTTACAAAAAAACTCTGCTCCCAGTCACCAGTGCAGCTACTTAGCCTGAGCGGTGTTTTATGAAAATCAGCTGTTGCCCAATGCAGTAGATCCCCACTCTCCACGCAGTCAGTGGATCTAAAGGAATGAAAGTTGTCAATACAACTTGGCACTAACTGCATCGCAGGAGTTGCCAAAATGACATCGGTATCAGCGTCAGTCCGACTTCAGGACTCTCGATTTTACAGTTTGGGTTTACTCCCGTAGTCTTACCCTAGCTTCCCGATTTGATTTTATATATTTATATCAATATTTATTCAAACTTTTCCAGTTTTTTAGTTTTTTTTGGTACACATAAATTTGCGAGGCAGCCATCTTGTTGCTAATACTAATTATTCATATGCATTATGTTATCCTTTTTAATGGTAAATATTTATTTTATCTGTGTTGAATCCACATAAAATCAATAAATAATGTACACATATTTTTTTTTCCAAGTTAAATGATGAAAAAGAAAAAGAGGAAGATGAGCAGTTCCTGGCAGAGTTGGAAGACATCGAGGATGAATTTATTAAAGAATACAGACTTCTGAGAATAGAGGAGATGAGGAAAGCTTTGTCAAATCTGTAATTGTCTACTACTTCTAATTTTGTTAATACAGCTGATAATTTTTTAAATGTATAATTATAAACCTATTATTTAGTCTTTTTCAACAAGCTGTCTCTTCATTAGTGGTTCTCAAACTCTGTGTCCTTGCTGAATGCAAGTTTTTTAAGGTACTGTATGTCAAATGTAACAAAACTCTAGGAAATAGCAAATTATTCTATTTAATTAAAGAGTTCGGTTAGGTGAAAATATATAAAGCATAAATAGACTTAATTTTGATAAATTTAATTATCATATAGCGCCAACTAGTAACTATTTGTAGGGGGCTTCTGCAACTAGTTTGCATCAGGACTGCTAGATGTCATGGGCTGTCATAGTCGATTAAAAATCAAAATAAGATTCAGACAATTGTATTTTATTTTTTTTTGTGCCCCGGCACATTCTTTGGGAACCACTGCTTTACATAATTGCACTTTTCATATGATTTCTTGAGATTTTTTTATGCTTGAGTATGAATTATATTGTTGAAAAAATATAACTTTCATAATGCTTAGATCAGGAGTCGTAGAACTGGGGTAAAAATGAAAATCTCTATGTAATGAGAACTCATTAGACAGAAATATAAAAAAAATATTTTTAAAAAGTTTTTTTTGTAACAACAGAAATTTTGTTATGGCAACAATACATCTGGCCAGTAAAACAGAGAAATGCTCCTAACAAGTTGTGCTAATTAGTGACTCGGCAGCGAGCATCATCACAAGTCCTGTCTTGTATATGTTATTTTGGCATGGTCCACTAGGATGTTATTTTGGGCTAAAATGATGATTTTAAAAAAAAATTTTTGGATGCATTTACCTTATAATATATTCTTTAAATTGTATTCCGCATATTAATAGGTTCATTTAAATTAAATAGATTTAAATAGTCTATGATTTTGTCCTTTTTCAAATTGAAGAGGTAATGTTGGCATAAATGGGGTAATAGCTAGAAAATTTCTCCAAATCCTGGCTTAGATGGTACTTCAAACTAAATTTCATACTACTGGGTAACTTAAATTATTTTAGAACTGTATTTCTTGTTGTTTTTTTTTCCTGTAAGAACTATTATATTACAAATATTTCAGCCCAAAATTTGGGAAACTGATTGCTCTCAAAGCCAACAACTTTCTAGAGGAAGTAGATGGGGAAAATGGAAATGTAACAATTGTAGTTCACATATATAAAGAGGTAACTGAGATAGCAATATTTTCTATATTTCACTTACTATAAATTATCATTTAAGTTGTCTTAACGTTTGTTTTTTAAAATTATTACCAGAGGGATGTCAGATTCTTCATTATTTGCCATGATAACCTCAATATGTTTTGTGTCTGCAATTTGTAAAAATATTTACCGGTATGTCAAATTATTCAAATTCAAATCACAATTTCAGTTCAGGGAAATATTCCATATAATAGAAACATCATTCTGTTTGTGAATAACTGAAATGATTCTTATACGTTTCCTTCACTATTTTTTTTTCATTGTCTAATCCCTCTTAATTTAATTTAAATTTTTTCATAAACTGCTTTACTCTTAGAAACTTTAAAACAATGTCAGTGTCCTCCATTTTGTTACATTTCAAGTTAAGACAGATGTGTAGGAAATGGTTAGGTTTCATCTATTATAAATTAAAGCTATGTTATTAATTTTATTATGTAGTCTTTTTTTTATTTTTCAAGTTTTATTTCTGGGAGGTGAAACCAGGATCAGTTTCAATGAGTTTAAATATTCTAGAGTAAAAAAATTGTCAATTTTGTTTAAAAAAGGTTCATTTTACACCTGTGTCATAGGCACATTTTGAGATGAGAGAAAGGAAAACATTTGCCTCTACTTCTTAAAACTAATGTAATGCTACCATTTCTTTCTGTATTGAAAAGCCGTTTCAAGTAGATTTAAAAATATTTTTTGTGACTTATTCTAGGGTTTTTCAGCTTGTGATACAATGAATGGTTGCCTGATGTGTTTGGCAGATGAATATCCTATGATAAAATTTTGCAAGATCTCTGCTTCTGATGCCAGGATGAGTTTTAAATTTGTAAGTTTTATTTTATTCTTTAATGCTTAACATTAATTTCACTAATTTTTAATGCATTTCTGTTTATAAAAATATTGCTTTTTTTACCATAAATCTCCCTGCATCATTCATTTTTAAAGATTTTTAGTGACATCAGAGAAGTTTTATCTGATATGGAGGCACATTTTTGTGTGGATGATAAGTTATGTGTATATTTTATCATTTATTAAAATTTTAGTACTAGTACCAATTTTATGCACACTTATACAAAAGATTTTGGTTTAAAATTATTTAGCTAGGCTTATTATTTTTTTTTTTTTTTTTTTTTTTTTTTTTTTTAAAAAGAATTTTGTGAAATTCCCTAAAACGTTTTGCTTAGTTTTCTGCTCTAAAATATTGTTTATCTTATATAATAATTGTATTGTTTTATTTTTGATTAGGCAGAGAAAGGAGTTCCTGCATTACTGATATACAAAAATAAAGAACTTATTGGAAATTTTGTACGACTGAGAGAAGAGTTTGGAGATGATTTCTTTGCAAATGATGTGGAAAGTTTTCTTCAAGAGTAAATAATAGTATTTGTATTAACTTCAGTGATCCATTTGTTTTCAAATGTGTGATTTGAGGATAACTGCTTTGAACAAAATTAAATAGCAAAATAGTGATAACTGGCTATAACGTGGCATGGCTTCCAAAATTAAGTATATTCATTTTCACAAAAAATAAAAATACAAGACTATGTTAAAAGAAGAACATCAGATGAAACCATTTAAATTAGAAACCACACTTTTGAAAAAGTAAATCAATTCAAATATCAAGGGTCCTTAATAAATTAAAGAAATGACTTACTAACATAAATATATTTGCGAGGATATTTGCTGGAAACAGGGCATACTTCAGTAGTCACAAAAAGTGAAACTTGGATCCTAACAAAAACGTCAGAAAACCTATTAAACACGTGGGAGAGAAAAGTTCTCAGGAAAATACATGGACCAAAAAGGAATAAATATGGAAGGGATTACGAACCAACTAGGAATTGTATGCATTATACCAGGATCCCACACTAGTAGCAGGAATAAAAGAGGGCAGACTGCGTTGGGCTGTACACTTTGAAAGAATGCCAAATGCCAGAGGAGTTAAGAGGGTGCACCACCAAAACCCCAGAGGAAAACGTCTCAAAGTCATTGGCATTCCTAGGCTTAGATGGATAGACAATATAGAAAAAGATCTACAGCCGCTGGGAATCCAAGCATGGAAAAGAAAAGAATCAGTTAGGTCTGAATAGGAGGAAGTGGTGACGCAGGCCAAAGCCCTACTCTGACTGTAGCGCCACTGGGTTGGGTTTGCACATGCCATTTAAAAACATAAAATAAATTAAATAAAAGAGGGGAAAAAATTGGAATATTTAAATTCATTTCGGGAATAAGTCACATGTTAGTTTGAATATGATAAGATCTTGGCGTGTTTGCTGAGATTTGAAATTAATTAGCATCTCAAGCGAAAGCCGCAAACACCTTGGCAATGTTTTCCGACGCAACCAGTTGAAATTAATTGATGTCCACTTTATTAGCTGTAAAATCACCATGCTATTAGCACAGAATCAAGGCTGCTGTGCAACTGCCTGGAATGTGAATGTAGACAGGAGTCTCTGACAGATGTTAAAGTAGCGAAAGGGTTTTTGGCATAAAAATATTGTAAAACCCTGCATTAACCCCACTTTGAACTAAATGTGATTGATCCCAATGATCTCATTATAGCAAGGTTCCATTATTCAACTGTAGTTTTTATTTATTGCTTAAACATAGTAGAGAATTGGTGGTAGATAATTAGTGCAAGCTCATAAAATATTCATTAAAAATAGATTGCGACAAAAAGCAATTAAGTTCCCAAATATTTTAAAGATTTTTAAAAAAATGTTTTATTTTAAGAAATAAATGAGTTTTGAAATTTTTTTCCAGGCATCAATTTTTGCCATCTAAAGATTCTGTGTGTACCATTCGAGACAAAAGAACAGGAGAAATTAGGGGAACACTTCAAGAAGATGAGGACAGTGGCAGTGACTTTGATGTTGATTGATTAAGCTTCACATACCAGTATATTTTTTTAAGGTTGAATTTGGAAGGATTGAAATTTGGATAGAGTTGGTGCAAAGAGATTGTTTTGTCAATCTTGAAATATGTTTTTAAAATTTTGATTGCAATGTTTTTTCATGTTAAATTTACTTTAAGCTTTTGCTTAGGGGCCCTAAATGACATTGCACTATTACAGCATACTTTTTACACACACGTCACAAATTAGACACTTTTATCACATCATCACAAGTTTTTGGACACCTCTCTTCCCCCCTCCCCCCAACCTTGTTTATGGATGGCCCCTTAGTTTGTGTTCAATACTCAGTGTTCCTTATATCCTTTGACTTTATCACTGTTGTAATCAATCTTTTGTTTTTAATTAGCGCATTTGATTTCATTTCAATATTGTGTGGCCTAATGAAGTATTTGAAGTAGGCAAATTTTATTATGAAAATATAGTGTCATAAATTAGGAAAGATCAAAGTTGCCTCTTAATTGGATGCTAATTCCGAAAGGGAACCTGTCTACCTGTTGCATTTTGTCTGGGACGATCAAGTTTCAGGACGGCAGAGAGGACCAGTTGAAGTTGCTTTAATATTGACAGTTGTAATTTTAATGTATTATAGCAAAAAAGAATAAGACGGAGACTGAGAATAGGGGTACGGGATTTAGAATTGAACGAAAAATAGTTGAACAGGAAAAAGTTATATTTCTTCTTAGTAAATGTTGACCTATGTCAAATGTTCTGACACAGATGCAGTTATTATGATAGATGCCTATGCATGGCATGGGAATCCTAAACTAAAAGGTTACAATGAAGACAGTGAAGGACAAAATGAATTTTTTTAAAGAACTACATAGACCAATAATTTTAGATAGGCAATGGAAGTGCTATTAAAACTGCCCACTGTTTGTTTATTTATTTTATTTTTTTAATGAATTTTTAAAAAATGTTTTTAATTTTTGCAAATTAATTAATTTTAATGATTTAAAGACTATTGGAGCAGCAAATATTATTTAAATAAATTAGAGCATGTGATCAGATTTAAAAGCAATATATTTTAATACATGCAACAATGACAATAAAAGTGATTTTAAACAATATTTGACTTGGAAGTTATTGGGGAGGGGGTGGGTATGGGATAACATTTAAGGATGGCCTCAAGATTGATTTTCCATATTTAATATTTTGAAAATCTCACAAATCACAATGAAATCTGAAAAGCACAGGATATTTTGATAGAGTTTTAAAATTAGATGAACCCATTTAAAAAGATATAGTTAATGCTATATTGTTTAATTCATAGTCATTTTAGGGTAAACAATTATTTCTATAATTGGTAGTTCGATTTGATTGACTCTAACCTATACCTTTACTTTTAAGTGCATCTTATTAATATAGATAAAGAATGTATCTGTACTTTCCGATTTGTTTTGCCTACTTTAATGCAATTCATTTTGAAGGTTTGTTTTTTTACCCCCTCTTTGAAAAATTAAAATTTTCAATGCATCGCTTACAAGTATTGAGATCTGTATGTATGTTCTTGTGCTTCTCACGTGACATTTATAGGTCCCAGTATTAATTTACTTGCTTTTGTAATTCTATAAATTAAGCTGTTTAGTTATTTTTTTTAAAAATGCTTTTACTTTTACTCTTGTCATTACTTGACTTGCAGAACCGTTGGTGTTTTTTTGTGTTTTTAGCTTATAGTAATAAACATTACTAGAACCGGTATACGAATCCTAACTTTAATATTTATTTATGCCAGTCTATTTTATTGAAAAGAACTATATCTGTATCATGTATTGAATTTATTTATCCTTTTGTCGCTGAATAATTTATTTATTATATTTCTTTTATGTTCCTAGTGCACATTTCATTATTATTCAAATTTCATTATTTTTAGAGATAAAATATCTTAGAAATGAATTTATGTTTCAACATGCACAAATCTAGTCATGTAAATAATTAATTTGGGGTTAGTAATAGTTGTAATGAAATGATGTTATAATTATTTATAAACTTAAATATATAAAATAAATTAATTGGTATTCAACAGTGTTCAAAGATGACAATTATTTTGAAACTGTGTCTGGGTGGTTTTTTAATTAGTAACTTCAAAACTGATTCAAAATTTTTTAATAAAAAAATTGAATAGATGTTATTTGATCCATGTTTCTTTTTAAGTTTTGTATTTGTATATTTCAGTAATTTGTAAATAAATTAACAATAAATGCCTTTGTTTGTATTTTTCTGTGAGTGTGACATCATTATTTTGTTCTGCTGAACCAGGGTTCAGTAACTTTTTTTGAGTGAAGATTCATTTTTATAAACCTAATCTGCAAAGAAAATATTTTGGTGGCGACATGTCATTACGGATTAGTCCAAAAAAAAAAGTTGCATCTAGTCCTTCAAAGAAAAGCAAATTTTTATCACTTGGCTTAACCAAAGATTGCATTCACCTCTTTTGATAGCTGTCATGAAGAGTATATATAAAAGAAATTTTTAACAGTTTATGGTGATTTCGGTTAATTACCTTTGTACATCATTATGGCCTATAAATTATAAATAAATGAGATGTGACAATAATCATTTGTAAATATGGGGTGGGGGTGTGAAAATGACATGACAAATGCCCTGTCCCTTAAATTTGAGTAAGTTATGATGATTTTATGAAGGATACTGGCATTTCCCAGGATTAAGTATTTCGACTTTCACAATAGTAAATTGCTTTACTACTAGACACTGATATTTTAATTTATGATTAGTACAATGTTAACTAGAACTGGCCTGCACAACATACGGCTGGCGGGCCGCAACGGCCCACCAGCACCCACTTGGCATCCCGCGAAGTAAAGAAATACTCTATTATTATGGCCCACCTTACATTTTGAGTTGTGCAGGCCTGCACTAAAATATTTCAATACTGGTAGTTCACTGGTAAGTGTCCTCGTTTTATAGCCATTTTAATTGTTTCTATAGTATAGTTGTTACTATCATAATGTCTCATTTTTATTTTAGTTAGTTTACATGTTTTTAATAATTGTAAAGCGCTTAGAGCTTTAAGGTAAGCGTTATATAAAAATGCCTAAATAAATAAACAGAATATTTACGTTTTTTTTAAAAAATGAACAATTAAATTTGTCAAATTTAATCCTTCCTTATTACCAATTTACAGTTTTCTATATGTTTCTATCATTTGAAACAACTCATACAGTTACCACATATTTGCACTTCTAATCTATTTAGGTTTATGAGCTATTAATTTCATATTTTACATAGTGTTTGAAATACAACTAGGATTTAAAAAAATTACAATATACATGGATATTTGTTTTCAAAATTTGAACTGTTTTTAGTGGGTTTTTTCAATAGAAAGGTAAACTATTTCTTAAGATACTATTAACTAATGATTGATTACTGCGCAGTTGTCATTTCAGTGAGCAAGCAAAAAAAATGTGTTCACATGAAGCACTTAAATAATAAGCTCATTATTATCAACAACTTTTGTCACTGTGCCTCAGCAATTTTAAGATTGTTCAAATCATGAATATGTTTTGAAAACACTTATAGATTTCACTAGGTTTATTTCATGTCCCATTAGCAGTCAAATCAACATAAAAAAGAATGCCAATATCAGGATGTCCAAAATGGTTTATTGTTCAAGTTCAACATAAATATTTCAACTTTCACTGACATTCACATTTTTTCCAAGAGACAGATCATTTTATTGCACATTTAAGTGCATATAATGTACTTGCTTTAAAATACATACAATTTTAAAAAATGAGCTATTATCTAATAATATAAATTACATTTCACTGCTAATAATATGATATCAGAATTTTATGAATTTATGACTAATGCAGCCTGACAACATGGTAGACAACAAAATAGGGTATAGTGTGAAAAAAAGACTAACTAAAACACACAGGGCAAACCAAAATTGAAGTTACGACCACCAAGACAAAAAAGTTTTAATTAGAAAATTAAATTCAATAATCAATTTTGTTTTGACTAAAATTAAAAGCACAGCCAGACTTGTATTGCTTTGTCTTCTTGCTTCAATTTGTTAGCACATTTATGTTTTGATAAATATGCAGTATTATGTCATTTGAGTACCGTACTTACCCTTTTTCAAACATAAAATAGCTTTAAGCTTTGAAAGTAATTACCAAGATATAAATTATTAGGGCTAATGAGAGCGAGAATAGGCCATGACTGTCCAGACATAGCCTGTAAGACAACCAGGAGCACTTAATTCCCTTTTCATTTTTTAAAAATTAATATTTAATGGTACAATTACATTTTCAGGGCTTATATGCAAGACAAATTAATAAATGGCACACCATTTATTCAAACTACATTAGACCTACATCATTCACTTGAATTTATATTTATTATTACAGTATGTGTGAACATATATTTATGAAAATAATTACAATTTAATATTTTTTTAAATAATAATTTTTTGTTGTCAAGGAAGAGTGGGTTTTTTTTGGTGTTTTTTTTACATAATTTTTTATACAAAGAGAGAAAAAGTTTTAATGCTTGATTCCTATGAACTAAGAAAAAAAAAAACATGATAATATAGTTTCTTTTTAAAAAAAGATAATGCAGAAGAAACTAATTCTATTAATCAAGACTGCTAATCCAAGGTACCATTCTTCTGTTAAGAAGTTGATTGGCAACTTTTCATTGTCTGATGATGTAATGCAACAGGCATCTTGATTTAATAGATTTTTGTGACTAGCTTCCAATATGTTGAAAGGTAAGTAAAAGTAGACAAACATATTCACCTTGTGGTTGTCTCAATCAGTTAAAGATGATTTAGAGTCGACGCTGCAGTGATTATTTTTTAAAATCCATATTTCAAAAATACACTTTGGAAGCTAGTCACAAATAATAGGCTCAGGCACTAGATTGAACACAACACTAAATGGCTGTCAGCTGATTGTATGGAATCCTGTTTCTGCTGGATGACAGCCAAATGACTGTGAATCAGAACTCTAGTACCATTTACCTGCCTCATCCACCCCCTGCCATTGGTGGAGGACCTGGAGCTGAGAAAAAGAGCATAAAAAATTCATGAGATGAAAAGTGTTTTAATGTAAGTTGCCTATATTAATCTGAAAAATCAAATAAGTTTATCACTAAAACATTTAGGTTGAAACTGTAGAGTTATGTAATCCACAAAAATGATAAATACACTGATATTCAATAATTAATTTTATATGTTTAAAAACGGTATTTGTACTAAATGTATGTTTTGTAGAAATCTACTCGAACTCCTCACTAAATTGAACACTGCCTGACTGATGTATCTCAAAGTATTTTCCATTTAATACACAGATATAACTATGCTAGGACAAGTATCACAAATTCAATAAATCATTCTCTAGCTTTCTATTTTATTGAACAGATAACGGTGACTATTAATCTAAATGGAGAATTTCTATCAGTAAATTTACCAATACTTTCATTAGTACTATGTCAGTATGTGTCAATAACTGAATTCATTACAAGATGTCCTTGCAAATTTGGGATTGTCAGCACCCATGATAGTAAACAAGAACTTAGTGTTATAAGTACAATTAATTCTTACAGCTGCAACTTTTGATCAAATACAATTCATTTACAGATTTTATCTTGTTTTCAAAATTATACAACCAATGCAATTTGGAACTAACATAGGACGTGGTGTAAAACAAATCAATAAAAATGTCAGCTTTTGTGAAGCATATTATTGAAATAGGTTATTTAATTAAGTTTAACCCATTCAATCTTTGGGTCTCAGAAATTGTATCACTTCACACCCCATCCAAAGGGGAGCAACTACACAGTTACTGTAAATAGGTTTTGTAATATAATATATTTATATGAAATAAATTAATTCACATTCATAATTGGTTGCAAATTATTTCCAAATGCTTTTGTTAATTCCTATATGTCAAACTACAACAAAGTAAGACTACTCAATGATAATAACAAAAGAAAAATTCTGCTATTAAAATAACGAATACTCCTCACGCGATGGATAAAATAACAAAATATTTGGAAGTAATCTCCTTTGGCGAGAGTTCTGCTTTCTATATAGCAGCATGTAAAAGGGTGTTGAATTGGTTAAGATGTTTATAAAGAACAAAAATTATTTTATTCTATTTAACTATACAATACCTCCTCCGCCTTGTCTACCAAAGCCACCCATTCTCCTTGATGGGCCACCGCCACCACCTCCACCTCCACCCCTAAAATAAATAATAATTGAGACTTGCACTTATATATGTATATATGATAAGTATGAAGGAAGTAAATACAAATAAATGAATAATTTGTAACAGTGTTTTTCATGGCAATGCCCTTACGATATTTTTTAAAATAAAGTGAAATCATTAAAAAGAATAAAAATTTCAGGATCTAATATATTTTAAGCGAATGCATTAATCATTATTGATCTGCAATACTCTCCTGGCAATGTTTATTTGAACTTAAATTCAAAATTTAAACAAATATTTTAGAATAAGTTAATCAACCATCTGCAAAACTGATATGTATTAAAATCTACAAAGTCTGAACTGTGAATCAAATTTAAGCTGTGTAGGATAATCTGAACACAGAGAAATTAGGACTCAAACAAACACTTGTCTAGTGTTACAAAATGCTTTTAAGAACTTCAAGAGTTATTTTATTGAAAATGTATAAAGCTTGAAAAAAAAAACACAAGAAACTATTTTTTAAACTGCTTATGTCTGTAAAGGAATTAAAAGAGACACCTACCCAGGTCGCCGATAATCAGAAGTATATCTATCTCCCTTGGCATTTTTGCTTGGCTAAAGATAAAATAAAAAATATTGTTTAAAACGTATTGTAAATTTTCATTACTGATTTTAATATCAACTTTATTTTGCATGAAAGTTGTTTGTTTAAACAATTAAAAGCAGAATAAATATATACTATTGGTTTTTCATAATATAATAATAACATAAAGTTGTTTGTTTTAATTCCTAACAAATAATAACAAGCCTCTTTAAAAGATATATAAAGTGTTAAAAAATAAGATATTGTGATCATTGAGAAGTTAGTCAATGAATATATCAATATAAGATATTGTGATATCAATCATAACATTTATCTGAATAATAATTTAAAAAACCAGAATGAGATACTTACATTTATCAAAGTCTGAAAGCTGAAAAGACACAAAATTTGAGAATTTCAATATTAAATTTACATTGAACTTTTGAGCAGCTGACATAAAATTACTTTCACAAATTTTTTAATTACTTTTTTTTAAATTGTCAGGTCTTAACCAAGGATTTACCAACACGTTAGAAGCTTCTGTAGTGTAAAAAATTTCAACTGATTTTATACTTAATACTGATTTGGGGGCAAACGCTCTCTCTTTATTGCCCTGTCTAACATACAGCCTGCCCTGGGCTACCCAAGTTCAAGTTTGGGGCACAAAGTCAACAGGTATGCAAGCATTTCTGGGACCAATGTGAGTTACCAAGCTCTGGTTATGGTATTTCAGATTCCAAAATGACTCAGACTTGCTGGGACAGGGCATGTCAGCGTGAACAGGTCTGGCCTTTGTGCCGTCTGTCACTGCCAGAGTAGTTGAGCACAGCTGAGCGCTCAACGATAGTAGCAAGCTATAGCACAATTCATTTAACTACTCAGGAGATGGAGGAAAGTGTTTTTGCCCTTCCTTTCCAGGAGTAGGTGATTTAATTTTTCTGCTAACTTTTTAATATGGCTGTATTACACTAGTTTTTACACACAAAAAATTCTATTACAGCACAACTTGAGCAAAATACTTCTTAAGGCGGTTCATGACTACGAACAAAATTTATTTTTTCAATTAAACAACCCCAAAAAACGAAGTTTTTCATATAAATTATTTATCAAATCTAATATTGAGCAATAGGAGGGTAGGGCTGAAAATTTGAGAAAACATCCA